CTGAGGAAAATAATCAAACAATCAATGCATGAGATGCAGACATAAAAAGATTCTGCATCATAGAAGAGGACCATAATCAATTATAGTGGAATGTGGTTTTGTTATTTTAACGGCGGCACCAGTGCAGCATCCACATCTGTCAGAGCGGTGTTCTCCACATTTACCGGGTAAGAAACTTTGGTCCACCTTTATGTGGTACTACAGGGCTGAGCGCTGGAGTTGTAACCTGAGACCGAACCCAAATCCAATCAGCCAGATCGGTTCTGTTGGATTTGGGCCGTGAATTATGTTAATTGAGCGGGTTGTCACGCGGCACGCTCTGCTTGCTCGATCAGCGACTGAGGGAGAGAGAGAGAGAGAGAGAGAGAGAGAGAGAGAGAGAGAGAGAGAGAGAGAGAGAGAGAGAGAGAGAGAGAGAGAGAGAGAGAGAGAGAGAGAGAGAGAGAGAAAGAGAGAGAGAGGATCGGAGGACGCTCCTCCAAACACGTATTATTATTTTCATAAGTTAATTATTGTTTCTCCTGGAAGCGCTCAGTCAGACCGAGTGTTGTGATGTCGGGAGATCCGGTCTTGGGGAGGGGGCGGGGCCAGTGAAGGCGGCTGCAGCGTAACTGTCTGTCTCTTTTATTTAGGGACACGGAGAAGTTAAAAGGAGAGAGAAATAGAAGATAGAAGTTCTTGTTCCTCTTTATTCTTTTGTTTCATGATGATAAACTGATGTTAAATTCAGCTGAAAGATAAACTGGGAGGAAGCTTTGGTTCATTTTAAGTTACAGGAGGTCTTGTCTCCTATCTGCTCCTCCAGAGACAGCATGGACATGAGGGTTACATGGTGAGGGTCCCACAGCCGAGCTGGAGGGGGACAGGTGTTGTCCTTTATATTGCAAGCTTGTGTGTTATGTGCATTACAGCCAGGGATCCAAACAGCCCGCCCCCGCCCGGCCCTCTTGCTTCTGGGTCATTTTTGTGAGTGGCCCTCGGACCATTACAATTGAGAACCTCTGTCCTATGGGTTCCTGGCACTTAATTCCTACTTTTTTAAGTGCTTCGAACTGAGAATTTCAGAAAATTTGTCCAGGAACAAAAAGTCATAAATGTGAGTAGTTTGTTTAAAAAATGTAAAGAAAAATTCCAAACAGAATGAAATTATGTGGTGTGATTTATTTAGTTTGATATTAATAATTTTCTTTAACAAACAGTATGCCTATATTACATTATGATACCTGTTTATATGAGATTGTAATCATTTATGTTTGCTATGAAAGTTTTTAAATCTCTTCTTGGGGCGACGGGTCAAAATTAACCTTTTGTTCATGTTCACAAACATGTTTTTCATGTGTTGTTCATCAACACGTACTGTCCAAAATAAAATTAAATTAAATGAAAATGCTAATATGTCAGGACACCTCCAAGAAGGAACCAACACATCCATCAGCTAATTAACATTTGGAGACAACTCAATTCAAGATGCCCACCACAGCTAACTGATATCAGCAACAAAAATGGCTTTAAGTCTGTGTAATCTGGCATGGTAGCAGCTTCAAGTACACGGAGTGCTAATAGAAAACATAAAATCAGCTATAAGGCCATCCTCTCTCAGCACCTTAGCTTAAATCACAGGTGTGAAAGATGGTGGAGTAGGGCTGGATGATAATTCAATAGTTCAATATATCCATCGATAGACACGTGTTGCGATAGACAAAAAAAATGAGTCGATAAAACTTTGATAAAAGTTTCCTTTTTTTCATTATAACCTAGCAGCATACTAGACTCACTACTTACTCCTAACCAATCAAAACCACAGGGGCATGCTAGTCACCAGGCCCTCCCCTTCTCAAGCCAAAACCGATCATGATGCCTCAGCGAGAAGAGGCGGAGAAAAAATAATAACACCGAAACTAAAATGGCCACGGCTGCTCATAAAATATATTTTCTACAATTTATCAATATCGATCAATATAAATAAATTGATATCGATACACTTTTTTCTATATCGTCCAGCCCTATGGTGGAGGACATCAGTCAGGTTAAAGTGTATGTTAAAAACTTTTATTCTTTAAATAAGGTATTTTGTTAACCAAATGAAAACTAAACGTCAAAAGGCCAGGCTCTATTTGAGTGGTATTACAGGCAAAGAACACAAAACCTCCACGGTGAGTGCTAATCCTGCCTCAAGCTTTACATCAACAGCACTAAGCCCGCTGGGATGTGGGAACATACATGCGGTCAGGTTATTTAATTCAGTTCCTCAAAGTATCAGCAGCTTAAGGGTCTGAAATTAGCTCCAAGGCAAGAGGAGGCCTAGTGTGGATGGTGGAGATCTCATTATGTATCTTAAACAGGAACGTGTGGAAGAAGTGACACTCCCGCTGCTGCAAAACTATTGATATCTAATCTGTTCACTGTTTTGTTTGTTTTTTTTATAAGAAAAGGGAAAACAACAGAAATGTTGCTCAACCTAGCAAGTTTCAACCTACAGTTACCAGGTGGAACAAGAAGAAGAGGAGGGGGATAATCTGTCTCCTCCTCTTCCATTTTTAATCCTCGAGGCGAGCAAAGCTGCAGGCTTGCTGGGCTTTTCTAGCCCACGTGTCCTGCTGGGAACCCCGCTGTGAGGCAACAACCCTTCGCCTGATTAAGACACATGAACAAGGAAAGGGACCTCTCTTAAAGTCAGACAGGACGCTGAAACAACATGAAGCCTTGAAGGCCAAGTCGCGACAAAAGAGGAGATGTCGTCGTGGGCGAAGGTTGCGCGTTCCTCCAACCTGACTGCTAAATCACAATGATTCACTGGTGTTACTCACAGGCTCCTGAAACACAAATGAAAGCCTGGAGGAAATCAGAAGTGCCTCCAGGTAAAGAAGCTCAATCCAACAGCTGAAGAGTGGAGTTTGCGCTGTGAATCACCAACCTGTAACCTTCTGTTCAAAAAGCAGCAGAACGGGAAGTCAGACTGAGCAGTCTCACGAAATGAGATGGTGAGAAGAGCCAGAAGGAGGGAAAGGTTCCCACTAGATAACTCTGCATTACTTAGAAGGGAAAATCTGCATTTTCTTGTTAATTACAGATTCAGCATTAGCCACTGAGAGAAGGAGCCATTTCTGCAAAGACTGACACCGGCTTTTGGGGCCAAATCAAAACAAACGTATTCCCTAAAGGCGAGGCTTCTTCCCAGCACAGGCCCTCCATTGAATCTAAATAACATTACATATTTTTCTCAGCCAAGCAGGACAAGATGCGTCTTTAGATGGAAAAGTGTGCCACACAAATGTTAAATACGCCATTAAATGTGTGATAACACCTAGCAGCATCACGGAGCTTGACAAGGCACGTTCAGGGGAACACTCTCAGAGTCTCTGTTGGAGGAAACAGCTCAGAACAAGGCAGCTCTGACAGTATGCAGACAGAAATAAACTCAGGAATTTGACTGTTCTGAGCTCAGAGAGACTAAAGTCAGCCAAAATGGACTCCAAAACCCACTGCAGAGCAGCTCTCACCGCTGTTTTCAGCAGAAAGAAAGGAACAGAAAGCCAGACATAATGTTTTTGTCTGTCCAGATCTGTTTTGCTGTTTGAAGAAGAGAAAGAGGCTGAGTACAAAAGTCCCTGCAGATGGTGCCAGCATTTCAGAACCAGTTTCATTATTTTGTGATTGCAAATCCATTTTTACAAAAATGAGCCAGGCCACAGATAATAGATGGCTGCATAGGGTGTTGATGGTAAAATTATATTAAAAAAAAAACAGCAAACTATTAGCTTCTTTTATATATTTAGCATCAAATATTCATAATATTCAAAAATAAAATCTAAATATGTCAAGTTTAATTTAATTATTAAGAATTAAAAAAAAGTTTAACTACTTCTTCTTCACCAGTGTTGAGGGGAACTGGTACCTGACTCCTCATTAGGCAAGAGGCGGGGGACACCCTGGACAGGTACCAAAGGGACACAAACACACACTCATATAGGGACAAGTTAGAGTCCTCAATTAACCAGATCAGTTTTGTCATCAAAAGGACTTAGATGTTAGGAGATGTTTCTTTTTTTGGTAGATTATTTCTATCATAAATATTTACTTTAAAACTCCCACATTTAGATTTCAGCACTTTAAAGCAACAATGTGTAATTATTACCATTAATTTCTAGAAATATCCATCAAAATGTTGTTGAAAATGAAATGATGCCCAGTTGTTGAAAAATATTAGCAGCTTTATAACTTATAACCATAAAAATCTGGTCTAAAATACATGGGAGCAGGTCTAAGTCTCTCGGCGACGCCATATTAGATGCCATGCTTCCTTCTACGGGAGCCCATGAGGATGAAATGCATTTACTGATTTGTAAGAAACGGTTACAAACTTTCGCCATTCTTAAATGTTGTTTAACACATTTACCTCTTCACTTGTTGCCAGTGATGAAAGGGAGTCTGATGTGCTTGTTATTTTGCTGAAGTTTGAACTCCTCCGGCTTTCTGACCCTAATGGGCATCCGTTGGTAAGGTCTTACTCCAACACAAAAATACTGCTGCTTGCTGCTAACGATTTATTGCCCCTTATGGCCAAGAAAAATACACACTTTAAACTATTCAGATTTATTTACACTTCAGTTACATTTTACATATTATATTTTAGATTTAAACGTTTAGACACATTCCTCTATAAATGTGGTAGAGACGTGATTTTGAAAAACGTATTTTACTATTTAAATGTACTGTTTTACAGTCGGCTCCCCATACACATGCTGCAGTAGTTCTGAATGAACTGACAAAAAGAACACTACGCAGCTGTTGTTTATTACAAGGCTACTGAAGCATCTATTGAATCACCTCCTGTGACTGATGATTACCAGATCCTGGAGCTGCAGCTAAAAAGAAGTTTAAACACATTCAACAGTCTGCTCGTTTCCGTTAGCGCCACAGTGTGGTATTGTTTTCTGACGCTCAAATGGGTGCAAACTTTAGGATGGCCCGAGAGGCTGTTCTTGTCTTGCGTTACTCACGTTCCGAGGACTTCCTTGAAGTCGAAGATCTTCTTGATGTCATCTACATGCTTTTTCCAAGACCCGTGGCTGGACTCGCCGTTTTCTTTCGCCATGATTACGCACCGGGGGACCAGGAGGAGGGGAGGAGGGGAGGAGACGCCGCTGGAGGATCACCACAGTCAACCACAGAGAGAGAGGCACGAAAAAGAAAAGTACTGTAGTTGTTTGCGCCCAGCTTCCTGGCTATGTGACAGTGTGTGAGTCCATGCGTGCAGCAAGGCGAGCCCATGAGGGGGGAGGAAGGTATGTCCTACCCCCCGAGGTTATTTGACTAATCTGCCTGACGTAGCGGTTCCCGAGCCTGAGCCTCCACGCTGTTCACATTCACAGGAACAACGGGAACCGGGTCCGTGCCGAGCCGAGCCGTGAGGTGAGGTCGGGCAGCTGCAGCTGGAGGATGACACTCAGCAGTGGAGCTGCGGTGCCATCGAGACACGCACACCGACCGCCCTGTGGTTGTTATAGCAATAGGAGTGGGAGGTCCCCGCCTTTCGATCTGACAGCACATGCAGCGGTTCGCATTGCACCAAATCTCAGGTCCGCTGGAAACTCCACATCCTTAGGACCGCTCTCCGTTTTGCATAAATCCAGTGTTGGGCTGCAGCAGATCATGCCTGCTCTTAACTGGTGCACTAATCAGGAACAGGTATTACAGGTACAGAAGTGTCCAGTGGCGGATGTAGGATTTTTCTGAGTACAGGGCCATCAAGGGGCCACAATATTTATACAGGCCAGAGGCAAAGGATAAATGAGTGACAGGACAGGGGCACTTCTGAGGGCCAATCAGATTTCAGCAGGTGCCAAGGCCCATGTTCTCCCACCCTCCAGAATTGCCAATGGGGGGTGCCTCAATGAAAATTGGGGGTGGTGATAATTTTGGTGTGGCAAAGCAGGATTTGTGTGGAAGTCATATGTAGGCTAATAACGAAATGTTGGACGGGAGTTGGGTTAACTTCCTCACCAAGAAAAACATGTTTCACCTTTTTGGATTTTGAGCAACATTAAGGGCTTCACTATAATGTAAATTACCAGCTCAGTGACCTAGTGGTAGGGTGTCTGCTCTGAGACTGGGAGATCAGGGTTCAATTCCTGGTCGGGTCATACCAAAGACTTTGAAAAAATGGAACCCAATGCCTCCCTGCTTGACACTCAGCATTGAGGGTTGGATTGGGGGGTTAAACCACCAAATAGTTCCCGAGCGCGGCCGTGTTTGCAGCTGCAGCTGCAGCTCACTGCTCCCGCAGGGGATGGGCCAAATGTGGAGGACAAATCTCGCACACACATTAGTGTGTGTGACAACTGGTGGGACTTTAACTTTAATTGTAATAAAATAATAATTGTAGTAACATTAAGGTAATGACAATGCAATGTAATAATGTTATGCACTTTTCTTCAAACATCTCCATATTTGTTTTTTTTCTTGTAGAGACTTAAAATATGCTCTTCCAACTTAATGACCAGGCAGGAAAAGAGACATGTCTTGGTTCTGATTTAGCAGAGGTTTTGTGCTTAAACAACACAGCAGCCATCCACTAGGGGACATTTTGGTTTCTTTCAGCTTCAACCTCCACATTTAAGCATCCATTCATCCATTGTCTGAACCCGCTTTGTCTACGTAGGGTCGCGGGCGGGCTGGTGCCTATCTCCAGCAGTCAATGGGCAATCAGGTGGGGTACACCCTGGACAGAGAGCCAGTCCATCGCAGGGCAACACAGAGACACACAGGACGAACAACTATGTGCACGCGCTCGCGCGCGCGCACGCCACACACACACACACACACACACACACACACACACACACACACACACCTAAGGACTATTTAGACAGACCAATTAACCTAACAGTCATGTTTTTGGACTGTGGGAGGAAGCCGGAGTACCCGGAGAGAACCCACGCATGCACAGGGAGAACATGCTAACTCCATGCAGAAAGATCCCAGGCCGGGAAGCAAACCCAGGACCTTCTTGCTGCTAGTCAACAGCTCTAACCACTGCGCAGCTGCGTAACACAGACATTTCATACATAATCCTAACAAACAACCATTTAGATGTTTTTTTTAGATTGAAATGTAAAGTTGTATAAACTGTTCCCATGGGAAACTAAGGAGTTTTTCCTGTCTGTGCTCATGAAAAAGACCAGATCCCAAATGACTCAGATTCTCAGAACCCAACTCAAGAGCATGACACTGAGTTGTTTCCTTTGGCTGCGGTTCATCTTCAACATAAACACTTATAGGTTACAGTTCCAAATCACATAAAATTAAAACTTTCTTCGGCTCCTTTACCTACTCATTAGGTTAAAAACATGTAATGAAAAGTATTTGCACAACAAAGGAAGAAAAATGTAATTAACAGAAACTTATAAAATGTGATTTCAGAGTAAATTCATACAAAAGTACCACAAAACGGAGAAACGGGGTGATTATGGGTTAACTGAGCACGCTTTATGTTAAAAAAAATGGAAGATTGTCATTGAGGTGCTTCCAGGTTCTGAACAATGCAACACAATAGCATCCTCTACTTTACCACAAACACGTGAAAAATCACGACTACAACTTCACTTTTTAAGTCGTGCTGGCGGAAGTAGCTTGTTGTGTGTAGTGCATGCTGTGCTTCTGTCTCACAAGAGGGATGACTCCTCTGTTGCTGCTTTTATGTTTTCCCCAATGGTGCTCAACGTTTGGCTGTAAAATATGCTCGGACAATCAAGAACAAAGAGAAGCTGGAAACTGAATCCACTCGAGTCATTTCTTCAAGTACCGGAGAGGTCATTCAACAAAATCTACATATTTATAGTCCTTGCAGTTTGTTCAAGTCTTTTATTTATAATCTGAGGTCGTTTCAGGTACGCAAGCTCAAATCTCCAAAAGGTGTAAGGAGAAACAAATCATTTATAGGAGAGCTTTAAACACCAAAACATCTGCATTGGTCTCTAATAAAAATGAATGCCTTGTGATTCAACCTCTGTGGGGGAAAAAAAGCTCTGGTACTCCGGTTTCAGGAACTAGAAATGTGCCTGATCAGAATTTTAGCGTTTTATTTCCTAATATTTGGACATCTCACCTCTATTGGCTGACAAAACTCTACCACTTACTCAGTTCATTCTGCAACGTTGATGTTTTATCTCCACAAATAACACAAGCCCGAAGTACATCTGATGTGAGATGGAGTTGCTAATGCTAACAGTTAGCTTCTACTAGCTCTGCTGTTTCCTGGATGCTAAGACAACAACAGCCTTCCCCATCATGAGCCAAGATGGATGAGTCCATGAATGCTAATTTTCTGTGAGACGTGCTAACGTCACTGGCTTTTCTAATCCGAGCATTTTCCCATTCATTCTCTACCAGTGGTTGATGCAGGAAATAGGGCTAGAAGATTATTTCCACACTAAACCTGCATGTGAAACTCAGAGTGACCGTTCATGAATTAAAAAAAAAACCTCAAATATGCTTCCAGTGAACTTGGTCTTTAACCAACTGATTACATAAAATCAGGGATGAAGGTTGGATTGTACATCTATGACCAGACTAAAAAATCTTCGTACACTCACTTTAATAGGTAGAGCTTTTCAGCTGCTTGTTAGAACAAATATCTAATCCAATCAGATGTCAGTAACTCATTTGAACATCTAGATGAAATGAAGACAAAGATCAAATGGAGCATCAGAATGAGGAAGAAATAGAATTTAAGTGATTCTGTTGTAGGTTCTAGAAAAGCTGGTTTTAGAATTTCAATACCTGCTTAACCCACAATTTTAGGGTTTAGATCACGTGTCAGACACAAGACCCCCGGAGCATTTTTATGTGGGCCGCGAGATAAATTTCAAAAATATATTAAAACTGACCCGCTGGCCGATTTTACCGCAAAGACTACAACTCCCATGACGCTTTGGGGCATTAGCGCGGAGCCGAAGCACCCCCTCCTTTGTGTTTTTTCCAGCATCTGCTGCCAGTGTCTGCCGCTCCGCTGTCTCGGACAAACTAAACACTCCACTCACTCAGCGCCGAGTTTATTCAGCTATTTGCCGACGTTGAAGCCCAGAAACGGAGATTTTAGCCGCTCAGTAATGTGTTCATGACTGAAAGAGAAAATTTTCCAACTAACTTCCAGACAGAGCTGATATAACTCCAGCAAGCAGCGACACACTCAAACCAGCATGACTCTGTGGCTGCTGTAGTTTTTATTTTTCCTCCCCGACACACAACGACGTGGTCAAGCTGCTCAGACATGTTCAGCAGCACAAACCTATGCGAGCACCTGTTGTCATCTAATGTTGTCATTATGATGAAGATGAACAAAGCAACAGAAGTCTCCTCCTCAGCTCAGATCAGCCCCATGATGCAGGTATCTGGCTGGAACAGGTGAGCATCACAGTAAACCAGTGGAGCAAACTGAGCTTTAAATATTTTGGTTTTATGCTCTTTTTCTGCTCCAGAACATGAAAGTTAACAGGTGAGATGTTGCATTTTCATTTAAGATAAAATGATATTTTTATTTTGTTGTTGGCCCGTGAGAAAAGATTTAACCTACAGTAAACAGGAAGTGGAAAGGCTGCAGATAGATGAATGGAATAGAAAATCACTTTATTGTTCCTCAGTGGGGAAAGCTAGACGTCACAGCAGCGATGACACTTATTACAGGAGAGAAAAAGGAGAATAAAAATAAGAAAAATGAATAAACAAGAAAACATAAATCCTGAATAGATTTTAAAAATGCTGAATACACCACCAGTAATGAATAGCACTGATGCGTGCTATTTAACATTGACTTGCTCGTGTGTAATTTGGTTATTCCACATTCAGTGTTAATGCAAAAATAAGTTTGTTTCCAAATTAAAAGGTTCAAAATTGCGTATATGTTGATGAAGAAAATGTGCACATTTGCCGTTTGACACCCCTGGTTTAGAGAGAAGCAGATGTGTGGATAAAATGGGCTGTTGAGGTTGGAGACTGGTCAGACTGGTTCTAGAGGACAACAGCAGCTCAAATAGCCACTGGTTCCTACCCCATCCCTTTATGACCACATGGACCCATCTCCTGATGACTTCCAGCAAGATGATGCACCGTGTCACACAGCTCAGATCATCTCTAACTGGTTTATAGAACATGACATCACTAAACTCCATTTCAGTCCAGAACCTCTGGGATATGGTGGAACAGGAGATTCTCATTATGGATGCAGCTGTGTCGCCATCATGCTAATGTGGACCAGAACCTTTGAGGAATATTTCCAACTCCTTACGGAATCCATTTTATAAAAGAGTAATGAGTCTCTGAAGGCAAAAATGGGTCCAACCAGTACTAGTGATGTTCGTGTCTGCTGCAAATAAACACCATTAAAAACATGAAAATAGATTTATTTAAAAACCTTCAGTTTGTTGTATTTACATCAGCCTGTATGTTTAAATTCAAATATCAGTTAAATAATTAAATATTATTAATCATCCATAATCGGCTTGATCATAATACAGTAAAATCTATTTTTAGATTAGACATCTGTGGTATTTTCCTTCTAAATCCTAAGTAACTTCAGAAATTTAAAAGCCTTGAAATGATCTTTTTTGTTCTCAACAGTATAAAAAAACGACCAAACGGTTGAGAGTCCTCGAGCCAGAATCCTGAACAGGTTTCACTAAGGCTCTGATCAACACTAATGCACAACAATCACCTCCACTGACCTTGTAAACAGTCAATCTAAGGCTTTAAGTGCTTTTGTCATTAAACACAGGACGAAGACATGTTGAACGGAGGGAAATTAAGACAAATAAAACAATTTTAAAACGTTTAACCGTAAAAGTCTGAGTATGATGGTCTGTTGATCTTCACACAAACGTCCCAGCAGCAGAGTGTAGTGTAGTACCACTGGTTTCTGTTGGCTCTCAGGAAAACGTAGCTGTGAGGATGGCCTCCTGCTGCTGATGGTGAAGGGTCCCGATACCGACAGCAGGGGCGGGCAGGGCCGGTCGACTCACCAACCGGAGCTGATAGGTCAGAGTTCACTCTTAGTTTACCTGAAGCCACCTTTACTTTTATACGTGAGACAAAATACCTACCTTACAGGCCAGCTGCTTCTCAAACCTGGGGGCCACGAAGGACCAGGGACCCATGTTCTGAGGCTCTTCCTGACTCCAAATAAACTCTGTAGGGTAAGTTAAAAAAACAACACACACACACGCACGCACGCACGCACGCACGCACGCACGCACACACGCACACGCACACGCACACGCACACACACACACACACACACACACACACACACACACACACACACACACACACACACACACACACACACACACACACACACACACTTTCAAAATGAGTTTAAACTAAAAAAGTGATTTTTCAATTCATCTGCAGAGAAGCTTTGAACATCATTTTAAAACAACTTTTATGGTTTGTTTCATAAGAAAAACATTTTCAGAGTCACCTTGGCAGAAAATAACTTGTTAGCACATATTACACTGAGTCTGTGCAGAAAACGGAACCTCTCATTAATATTTACTACTTATGTTACCCTTATTGTTTTTGACAGTAAATCATCATCTTAAACTTCTAATACACATAAAGATAGTAGTAAAACTGCATAAGAGCATCATAAACAACAGATATTACTGCATTTACATTCATGACAGATACAGTTTAATAATAAAATGTTATGTAGATCCATCGATAGCCTCTAAACTCACATTTTTATTTCTATCCTCAGTACTAATGAACACATTAACATGAGTATTTGTGAGTAGTTATTTCTGAGATCTGTTATTTTAAAAGATATTTTCAGAAAGAGAAACGTGATTTTTTAAACCTAAAAATCTGCATGTGCTTCTGGTCTGTTTGCACAAACAGGAAGAGGATAAAAAGCATCAGAAAGCTTTGAGACAGACATTTTGTTACGATCACCTTGACTTATCCCTGGATCTGCTTTTGAGACTGTTTCTTTACACTCAGCAGCACTAAGTTCAATGACACCGGTCTCACTCAATATAACATCAATACAAAGCAGTTCAACTCTGATGATTTCTGGGAAAACGTGGAAAGGTCGCGAAACAATGGTGACAAACTTTTCAGATCTTTTACGCAAGTTTTTCCTCCAGAGGACAAAACCCAGCAGCTCCCTGTGAGAGTTCAGCTTGGTTTTCCTGGGATGATGAAGGTTTAATATTATAAATTAAACACATATTATATATAGGAGGGTGTAGTTTCACTCAGCAGATGCTCTGATGAACCAAACTGTGGCTTCTTCTGTAAGAGCAGCAGCAGCTGACAGGGTGGGCCAGGAAACACCAAAGCTTCCTGATGCAACCATGTGTAACGCTACTTTACCTGGAAATAAGCTAGAGCGTACGCCTGTGTGGCTGCAATAAAACCCCAACGTTCATTATCCATACATGGTGATTAGAATACATTTTTGGCACGGTTTCGGATCAGTAAATTAAAATAATCATCCATCCATTTTCAACCGCTTATTCAGAGTTGGGTGGCAGGGGAAGCACCCTAAGCAGAGAGGCCCAGACTTCCCTCTGCTCAGCCACTTGGCCCAACTCCTCCGGAGGAATCCCAAGGCGTTCCCTGGCCAGCTGAGAAACAGTCCCTCCAGCGTGTCCTGGGTCTTCCCTTGAGTCTCCTCCTGGTTGAACGTGCCAGGAAAACCTCACCAGAAAGGTGTCCTGACCAGATGCCCGAGCCACATGAACTGGCTCCTCTTAATGTGGAGGAGCAGCGGGTCTACTCCAAGCCCCTCCTAGATGACAGAGCTTCTCACCCTATCTCTAAAGCCGGGCGTACACTGTGCGACTTTTTCACTCGCAGCGTTCAGCTTCAGCTCAAACTGTACGACTTCCTCGCAGAGCAGATCTCACGAGTCGTGTGCTCACACTGTACGACCCAATTCTCGCATGCGACCTGACTGCTCACACTGTACGTCTGGTAGCAACACGTCGGCCCTAAAACTGTGCTAAAAATAGCAGTTTTTACTCAACACGTCAGACTTTTTTGTCTTGCCTGTTGTCCTTCGGGAGTGCTGCAGGAGGACACACAGGGATTTATGGGGGTTGGATGAGGAAAACGAAATAAAGAAAGTGAATCTGTGTTTTGTGATCAGTTTAATTTGACATGAACACGACAAACACGCTTTCTTGACAATCTTTGAGTAAAAAAAACGTGTAGAAACAAAAACGAACAGCGTGTGTTATTAGGGAAATAGCGAGCGACCGGCCGGCGTTGATGCAGGATTGCGCGCGCATGCGCCGTGAGCGGTTCTGATGCTTTTTGGATCGTAGCTGCTCGCAGCTGCTCGCAGCGCCGCTTCAACACTGCGATACCCTCACGAGGGACGAGCGAAATATTAAACACACCAGAAGTCCCTGCGACCTCACGACTGCTGATCGGCAGCTGGTCACGTGGTGTTAATCGCCTCTCGTAACCCCCTGTACACTACACGACCGCTCGGCGCAAAACTCGCCCCGATGTCGTGGCTTCTCGCACGACTGGAAAATCGGCTCAAAAAAAGTGAAAAAGTCGCACAGTGTACGCCCGGCTTAAGGGAGAGCACAGACACCCTGCAGAGAAAACTAATTTTGGCCACTTGTATTTGCGATCTTATGACTACCCAAAGCTCATGACCATAGGTGAGGGTATAACGTAGATCGACCGGTAAATCCAGAGCTTTGCCTTCCAGCTCAGCTCTCTTCACCACGACAGATCGGTACAACACCTGCATCACTGAGGGCGCAGCACCAATGCGGCTATCAATCTCACACACCATCTCTCCTTCACTCATGAATAAGACCCAGAGATACTTAAACTCCTCCACTTGGGCTAGAACTTTGTCCCCGACTTGGAGAAGGCATTCTACCCTTTTCCGATTCAAGACCATGGTCTCGGATTTAGAGGAACTGATTAACCTCCCTAAGGGGTGTTCCACGGCCAGGACGAAAGACACATTGTTCCTTCTGAATCTGATGTTCGACAATCTGATGAACCCTCTTCTCCAGAACCCCTGAATAGACCTTACTAGGGAGGTTCAGGAGTGATTCCTCTGTAGGTGGTCCCCCTATTTAGATAGGGGGATCACCACCCCAGTCTGCCAATTCAGTGACACTGACCTTGATGCCCAAGCGATATTGCAGAGTCGCACCAACCAACACAGTCCCACAACATCCAGAGCCTTAAGGAACTCCGACCAGACCTCACCCACCCCCAAGGTGATGCTGCCAAGGAGGTTTTTGACCACCTCAGAAATCTTTGGCCCCAGAGATTGGAGAGTCCACCCCATCCCCAGACTCCGCTTCCTCACTGGAAGATGTGCCAGTGGGATTGAGGAGGCTTTCGAAGTACTCTGCCCACCAATCCACAACGTCCCAAGTAGAGGTCAACAGCACACGTCCACATTGTAAACAGTGTTGGTAGCGCACTGCTTTTCCCTCCTGAGATGCCGGATGGTGGACCACAATCTCCTCGAAGCTATTTGGAAGTCTTGCTCCATGCCATGGTCACATCAAATTCATCCCACACCCAAGTTTTTGCCTCCAAGACCACCAAAGCTGCATTTCACTTGGACTGTTGGTACCCATCAGCTGCCTCTGGAGTCCCACAAGCCAAAAAGACCCAATAGGACTCTTTGACAGCATCCCTAACTGCCGGTGTCCACCAGCTGTTTCAGAAGTTGCCACCATGACAGGCACCGACGATACTGCGGCCGCTGCTCCGATTGGCCGCCTCAACAGTGGAAGCACGGAACATGGCCTACTCAGACTCAATGTCCCCTGCTTCCCACGGGACAAGTTTTTTTCTGTCAGAGATGGAAATTGAAGCTTCTTCTGACAGGAGACTCTGCAAGACATTCCCAGCAGACCCTCACAATACATTTGGGCCTGCCAGGTTTGACCGTCTTTCTTCCCCACCATTAAAGCCAACTCACCACCAGATCAGTCAGTTGACAGCTCCGACCTTCTCTTAAATGGCTTGTATTTGATATAGCGCCTTCTGGAGTACTGGAACCCCCCAAGGTGCTTTACAACACAATCAGTCATCCATCCATTCACACACACATTCGCACCCTGGTGGGGATGAGCTACATTGTAGCCACAGCTGCCCTGGGGCACACTGCCAGAGGCAAGCCTGACGTACACTGGCGCCACCAGCCCCTCCGACCACCACCAGCAGGCAAGGTGGGTTAAGTGTCTTGCCAAAGGACACAGCGACAGCAACAGACTGAGCGGGGCCCGAACCTGCAAACATTCGATTATGGGGCGAGCACTTAACTCCTGTGCCACCATCTCTTCACCTAAGTTTCCAAGACATGCGGCTGCAGAACAAATGAAAGGACAACAAAGTTGATTATTGAACTGCGGCCAAAGGTATTCTGGTGCCAAGAGCAAATATGATCACCTTAATGCTTAAAGGGACTTTACGGAGTTTTGAATTTCTATGCTTGCGATTGCCCCCTCAGGCCAAAAGCGTAACGGCAGCTTCAATAGTAGGCTCGTGCACGAGGCACGCATGCTGTACGTGCACACTCCTTAACGAAAATAACAGCTGAGACAGTCCCGTGTGTGGGGGGGGGGGGGGGGGGGGAGAGGACAGGAGAACGCGCAGCTAATTAATTAAATAATTTGGTTCTGTACCTTTCTCTTCAGCACAGCCGACAAAGGTTTAAGATGGGTCAGTCCTCCTGCATGTTCAGATCATTCCCTTCCCTTGCTTGAAAAATTGTTCCAAAATGAAAATTGAACCCACATCTTTTTTATCTGTGAATTCAATGCCGTTCGGCGAGTCTCAAATAAAAATTTGGGCATCTTAACTGTAAAAAAATAGACCATTAATGTAAAAAATAAATTCTAAATAAATTATGTTCACATCCAGATTCGAACCCGGATCTTCTGCACGAGAGTCCGACGTCTTACTAGGTGAGCTAGAGCCAGTAGCGTCTTTCATTTCTGTAACTTTTATATCGTTGAGGACAGCTGAAACAACGTTCAAAGAACAGTTCGGGGCGAAAATGGCTATTTTGTTGCTAATTTGCAGGAAATATCTAGAAGAAAGTAGCTAAGTGTCCTCAGAAATGTAGCTAGGTTCATCACTAGGCATTAGGAACAGCGATAAAGTCGCCGAGTTGGCACCCCCTCTCTCTCTGCTGCTAAAGCTACGGATAGCAAATGCTACGGGCTATGCCTGAGCGTGAACACGCATGAAGCAGCCTGCTCGACCCGAGCATTTCTCTTTTTCTGTGATTTTACAGAAAAACAGGCAATCACAGTAAAAATGCCAGGGCTCATTCTACAGGATGAGGGCATTACAGGAGAAGGAATGAAGAAGAAATGTATTATTTCTATACATGTTTTGGCTGTCAAACTTCCATAATGCACCTTTAAACATGTGTTCATTATGGACAATCCATGTCAAGCACAGAAGTCCAATTACAAAACATCGCTCAGATTCAGATCAGGGGGGCCATTCCTCCCAACCACATTTCTCCATGTCTCATTGTCGTTGCCCACGTGAGCATTGAAGTCCCCCGAACAACAAGGGAGTCACCGGAAGATGCACTTTCCAACACACACACCAGGGACTCCAAAAAGGGTGGGTACTCTAAACTGTAGTTTGGTGCATAAGCACAAACCACAGTCAGGACTCGTCGCCCCACACGTAAGCGGAGGGAGGCTACTCTCATGTTCCCCGGGGTAAACCCCAACGTACTGGCACCAAGTATGCCCACCCCTGCTCAGCACCTCTCAGCACCCAACTCCAGAGTGGTAGAAAGTCCAACCCCTCTCAAGGAAACTGGTTCCAGAGCCAGAGCCATGGGTTGAGGTGAGTCCGACTATCTAGCTGGAACGTCTGAAACTCATACACCAAATTTGGCTTTCTTCACCAGAGAGGTGACATTCCACGTACAGAGAGCTAGCTCCTGTAGCCGAGGATCAGACCACCATGGTCTCTGCCTTAGGCTACCACCTGACACACAATGCACCCAACCCCTTTGGCCCCTCCCATAAGTGGTGAGCTCGTGGGAAAGGGGACCCGAGTCTTTCTTCTCTTTGGGCTGTGCCCGGCCGGGCTCAGTAGGTAAAAGCCTGGCCACAAGGCACTCGCCGTCATGCTCCAACTTCAGGCCTGACTCCAGAATGGGCCCCAGGTGAGGGAACACCCTTTCTATTTATGTTCATCATCATAATGAGGGGTCTTTGGGATACATTTTGTCTGATCCCTCATCAAAGACCTGTTTGCCATGGGTGACCCTACCAGAGACATAAAGCCTCAGACAACTTAGCTTTTACCATTGGGACACTCAGACCATCTCTACCACAGTAAGGTGGCAGCCAAGGGTGCTAATCAATTTTTTATTCATTTTAAGTTTCTCTTGGATGTCAAAATGAGCACAATGAAACGTATGCTGACAGTATAAATAAATGAAATAAACTACATTTTAGTCTAAAGTACAAAGCACAATTTTTTCCAAACTAAAAAATGTTCGTGACAGGGTAGAAAATTCAAACAGATGAGTTTTCCTACATTTGCATTCCTTATGCGAGCAGCTATAATTAAATACAGTCCTTTCTTTGTGCATCAGTCGGTGTTTCCTACTGTGTTAAAGGGGAATTCCTCAAACTGGCATCTTTATGCAAAACACAGGAATGGCGTGTTATTAAAGAGGAACCGTGGACACAGAGACTCCACCCATCCATACCCGTATCACCCAAAAAATGGAATTCTGACTGCAAATGAACACATTTAAGGTTTTAATCATCCAGAGAAAAGAACTAAAACTTAAAGAGGGACTGCACAGTGCACACCATCAGAAAATGTAACTCCACCCCTAGTCAAGATTTGAAAAATGCCATGAAGGTGGGCATTGCCAGGAGGCACAGAGTGGCATGGCCAAGTGTGGGGAATTTCCATCCTGGGAGAGAGGGGGAGTGGGAGGAGACTGTACCGATAACCCAGCCCCAGTCAATCACAAGTGTAAAATGCAGTAGCCGCTGTTCTGCCACAGGGGGCAGCACTAAGACATTTTTAGTAGAGCCCTGCACTGAAGCCCTAGGCCCTCGGGTCGGCCCGGCGGGCCAACGACTGTGTAATTACCTCGGACACAGGCCGGGCGCCTTTATTTTTAATCGAATTCATAAAAAAAAAATTGAAACACTTAAACCAGGGGTTGGCAACCTGTTCCCATCAAAGAGCCATTATTACCCATTTCCCACAGTAAAGTGAACACTGGGAGCCACAGCAGCCGCTGAGTTGTGGGCGGGGCCTACCCTCAGACAGTAGAGCGCTGCTCACAACAGGTGACAGCAGCCGGTACCGGTCGCTCGTGTACATCAAAGTTATCTTTCATAAAAAGATAATCAATAAAACGATTTATATAAAGTGGATCCAGAAGTTGTAGCCCGTCTCTGCTACAATATTTTGATATTTTTCACCCTGTTGGTGGTTTTACTGAGTAGATGTCACTTTTGTCATACGTTTCTTTTTAAAACATAATTAGACTGTTCAGAATACAAATCCAGACTCTGTCACGTTTGATTGTTGTAATTAAACTTTGTAGGTGGGGAAGGTCAGAAAAGGATCTGTTCAATTTGTTTTTCCCTCATTTACAGTGACGGAGATAACGGCGCAGTGCGCCTGGCTCCGGTGTTAATCAAGTTAAATTATATCTCTTTGCAACAATTTTCACAAGAAAACAAAACAGTTAAAAGCAGGGCTTGTGTTGACCGGATAGTTCCCGTATTTGGCCGTTTATTTTGACGGAGAAAGAATAGAAAGAATTACCCCGACGCATGCAGACGAACTGACATTTTATTCTACGCACATTGCAGATGTAGCTAAATCACCCAAGAAAAGATTCCCATCTGAACATCTGAGCTGGACATTGCTCAGCGCAGCTCGCTGTCAGCGTGTACTACATAAGGTACGCAGCGAGCTGAAGATGTGGGGAGGGGCTTAGAGCGCGTCGCAGAACCAGAGCGCATGCAGGAAGATTCCTCCGACTGAATTCAGTCGGAGGAATCTTCCCGCTGATCTGAATCTGATGCGGCTCTCTGTGCTTGTAAAATAATGAATGGATATTTAAATAGAATGCTTTATATTTTACTGAATTAATTTTATATCTGTAAGTCAATTCTATGTAAAGATTGTCTGCCTAAACCTGAATAGTTCCAACCCAGTCTTACTGTGAGACCGGGTTGACGCGTCACACTTGTGCGTAATCATATCGGCGCTTTCTGAGCTGAAGAGGATGTGAGATTCTGGGCTTCTCCTCAGACGGCTCCTGGATGCGTTGCCACATTGGAGACAGGAACAAGCACTATTCAGCCAAAGTTTCATAATCAGGGAACATTTTCTAAGTGACAAGTCTCTCTGAGCGACAGGGTTTGGAAAACACTCGCTTCAGTGGGAGGAACCTTCCCGCATGCGCTCTGGTTCTGCGACGCGCTCCAAGCCAATCTCCAGAACTTCAGCTCGCTGTGCACATACGCGCCGACAGCGAGCTGCGCTGAGCAGGGTCCAGCTCAGATGTTCAGATGGGAATCTTTTCTTGTGTGATTTAGCTACATCTACAATGTGCGTAGAATAAAGTGTCAGTTCGTCTGCATGCGTCGGGGTAATTCTTTCTATTCTTTCTCCGTCAAAATAAACTGTCAAATACGGGAACTATCCGGTCAACAAAAGCCCTGCTATAACTGTTTTGTTTTCTTGTGAAAATTGTTGGAAAGAGATCAAATTTAACTTGATTACCACCAGAGCCAGTGCGCCGTTATCTCCGTGACGGTAAACGAGGGAAAAACAAATTGATCGGATCCTGCACGTCTTTTAACACATTGGTTAGGATTGACGCACTTTGTTTTCATTTAGTTGGTTAAAAAAAGTCGGGCTCGGGTCGGGCCAGAGAATCCTGAAAACCTTTTCGGGCCGGGTCGGGCTGGGGCTCCACCCCCTCGGGCCAGGCCGGACACGGGCTCAGATTTTAGGCCCGTGCAGGGCTCTAATTTTTAGACCTAGATTCTAGATTTTATCAAGTTTACACAAGCATGTCAATAAATGCACAGAAACAGAAAGATTGCATTTGTAATGACCCGATTATATGTTAATTAGCAAAAAATAAATAAAAGAAGTTATTTTGGGGTTTAGTTACTCTTTAAATAATACTACCTTTGGCATTAGGGTACTTTTTGAGCTCCTGCTGAAGAGTGTGCAGAGGGAACGGACACAACTCCTCCAAACGGAGGATTGCTGCACTCTGATTGGCTGCTGAGGTCTCCCTCTGTTTCAGCAGGGCATAGTAATGCTTCCCAGAACACAGCACCACCTTTTGGACACTGTGTGGATGACAAAAACTCCTAGTCAGACCTTCTATATCTGGGTAACTTCTGAACACTTCAGCTGACTTGACAGGTTTGTACCTTTCTGCTGGGACAGAATCGTCTCCCAACACCGGCCTGAAGGCTGTTCCTGGTGCTAGTTCACTCAGGCTGGACGCTGCTCCCTGGATGATAAAAACAAACATCTTTCAGTTGTTGTGATTAAAACAAAAATACCTGTTTCCTTATCTCTACTCCATCTAAACTCACAGAGAATCTGAGCAGCATCTTGGGTCCCACCACGATGAGAGGTTTGCGGAAGTTTCGAACCATCTGCCTCCTGAGCAGGTGGAAGTACTGTGCGGAGGTGGTGGGGTTCACCACTGCCATGTTCACACTGTCACCATCCACCCCCTCCTCTTTACTGTCACACATCTGATGGACAGAAAAGGGTCAGCAACCATCTATGCGTCAGTGTGATGTTCTAAACTCAAAAGGCTGCACTTTTATAGAGTTTATCTCGTCTGTCAACAAAAATAAGCGACTGAAATCTAAACACAGTTGGGAGAAGATGGTCTAAAAACAACAAGCTCCATCTTGTCCCACCACTGCTGTGGTGAATTAACATGATCTCTGGTGACTTCATCTGAATTAAACCTGCAAATAATCAGCTCTCCTCCCTTGATAAATGCTGGCTGTTTCAGGACAAGCAGAGACGAGAAAGAAAAAAGAAGTCGACAGTCACCCTCATTGGGGGGTTTTAAGACTCGCCTTAAGACCCTTTTTTTTGGTCAAGGCTTTTCAGGTTTAGCAAATTTTACCCAGTTTCGATGCCCCGGCCTCTTAATCTTTTTCTGGATTTTATTTTTTGCTTTTACTCTCCTCATTTAATTGATTTTATGCTGGTTTTACGATTGTTATATTTTATTCTGATGGTTTTATGTTTTTATTGTGTTGTGTTCAGCACCTTGGGCGTCTGCACTGGCCACAGAAGGGGCTTTATAAATAAATGAAATGAAATCAGAAGCACACCCATGAAATTTAGCTTTTAGAAAAAAAATAATAATAAAATAAAAGAAGTGAGGGGTCAAACGCTGAGTAAAATCTGTGATGTGTGGGGTAGGCTTGGGCAATATCCAAATTTTAATACAGTTAAACTTCCTCCATATTTTACCATGGTGTATTACCACAACTAATTCATTAAAAATTATGACTTAAGACTCAAGTGGCATTACCAAACTGTTGGCTTGGACCTTCACCGTTCAGAAACTAAATCCCAAGCACTATTACTACTGAGAAAAACAACGTAACACACATAATATTATCAACAGATTAAAAAAAAACGTAGCTTATTAAAAAGACTTTTCGCCAGAAAAACCAGCATGTTTACTTTCCGGCTTCAACACTGCTGTCACATCATCAGGAGAAGACGACTAGCAGCATACTTCCAGCAGAAATTTCATTTGTCGTCTCCTTGAATAACAGGCTTTAAACTAGCCTGATGAAGACCAGGAGGCGGGAGCACATTACACCGGTTTTAGAATCATTGCATTGGCTCCCCGTGTGTTTCAGGATCAATTTTAAGGTTCTTCTAATGGTTTTTAAGGGTCTTAACGGTCTTGGGCCTTCTTATCTCTCAGAACTGCTTTTACAATATGAACCCTCATGTCCTCTGCGCTCCTCTGGCAGGCGTCTCCTGGTCAACCCTAAAGTCAGGACACACACTCACGGCAAGGCGTCCTTATGGCCCTCGCCTCTGGAGCGAGCTGCCTGAAGACCTCAGGGCTGCAGAGAACGTTCATGTTTTTAAGTCCAGGCTCAAGACCCATCTATTTAGGTTAGCTTTTATCTAATTATTCACTATAGTTTTATTTCTCGTTTTACATGATTAGATTCTATTGCTTGCTTTGCACATTTTATATGATTATATTTTAACACTTTTTCATTATTTAATATTATTATTTTACTGTCAATATGATTTTACTGATTACTTATTTTCTTACATTTGTCATTTATATTAGCTCTTTTATTTTCATATTTTTACTCATTTTAATCCAGTGTTTTCTCTGTAGGGGCCCTCTGCCCCGGGGACGGTGGTCGACTGTAGCTTCCTGGGCGCTCTATAAGTAGTGTTTAAGTGGAGGTCTATGCTCCCCCTCCTCTGAGCGCCCTGACTTAGTTGCTGTGGAAGACCTGATGCAGCCGAGGCAGACGGCTCCTCTGATGGCGTTTCCTTGCCTTACCTTACTTGGCCCATCTGGACTCAGCCGAATATAAATTTTTACGTACGTACGTACGTACGTGCGTGCGTGCGTGTGTGTGTGTGTTAATGTTTTTAAACTGTTATGGGAATTTGGGGTCATTTTGTAAAGCACTTTGAGTAGCACTTTGTTTGAAAAGCGCTTTATAAATAAAATCTGACTGATTGATTGATTGGTTGATTGATTGATTGATAAACAGGCTGTTATTTCAGCTCAGGAGCGTTCCTCTGTGTTGCAGACGGGACATCTCTTGCCGTCACCTCTTTATTGCACGACGAACACTCGGTGATGGGGAAACACGCTTTATCATTAAATTCTAAATTAAATTCAAAATTCATTCTGATCATTTGCGTGGAATCCGAAATACTTCCAAACAGCAGAAATTGTTCTTTTTTAAAACTAAGTTGGTAGGTGAGAGATAGGGGTGGGAACAGATACATTTTTATCAACATCAATGCTATTGTCAGTTCTGTCTATCAGTGCAATTCCTTTATCAATTCCCAACTAGTTCAATAGGTGGCAAAAAAATTTATTGCACACCGTCTCCTGCATTATACCTGTCAGCTTATTAATGATAAATAATCTGTGGTACCTGTATCGGTTTGAAAGATTTTTCCAACTGTTCTCCTTTATGCTCCCTGTGAAGACAGAGTCCTCTTATGTGGTGCAGTGTTGCTGTAGCTTTTGCAGAGTGGGAAAAATCTCACCAAAGGTCAGACTTTAGTGGCTGGAGTCTGCTAGTGTGGAGGTGTGTATCTGAGACTAATGACTAACATGATAGGCAGCGTTAGCTGATTAGTTACTTGCAGTGTGAACAGGAGAGGACGCGCAAACATCACTGCTGCTGCGTTGAAATGTACTAGTCCGTAGCAGGTCAAAAACACAACATTCACTTTAAGTTATTGCATATTTGTAGTGTTTCCTCTGTTTGATGAAATATCTACTTTGCAAAAATTGCAAGTTGCCCTGTTGGCGCTTAGGCGCCATGTTTCCTGCCAAGCCAATGCGTAAGTTAAAGTTAAAGTTAAAGTCCCATTAGTTGTCACACACACAGGTGTGTGTGCGAAATTTGTTCTCCGCATTTGACCCATCCCCTGGGGGAGCGGTGAGCTGCAGACACAGCCACGCTCGGGAACCATTTGGTGGTTTAACCCCCCAATCCAACCCCTTAATGCTGAGTGTCAAGCAGGGAGGCATTGGGCCCCATTTTTTTTTATGTTATTAAGTTATGCAACGTGCGCGATGACGTCATTCGCACCAACTGGAACTGATAAGGTAATTGTTTGCAAAAATGGCAAACGATTCCTAGGAATTGGAACAGTGGGAAACCCGTTTTTCGATTCCCAGCCCAAGTGTGTGACCTGCTATCCTAGTCTCTGTCAAGATGCCTCTCTCTCCTCCACGCTGTCACATGATGATGTCATGTTTATAAACTTTATGGAACATCTCCAAAAGTCGGCCAAATGATATTAAAGTACTCAAGTAAAAACGAAAATTAAACCATTCATCCATTTTACACATTAAATGACTTTTTTATATTAAATCCTTATCCCCTAAGTGCACTGTATTTTTTCATGACTGTGTGACACTTTTCTGATTTTAACCACTGGCTGTACACAGTATTACCATAGTACCGTCCAAGCCTAGTGTGGGGTTAGAGGTCAGGTTCTCCATAGTTAAAGGAACATTTACAATAATAAAAGGCGGACATGTTGGAGCAATTCTAAACTCATTTGTGAGTTGTGTTGGTTTGAACCCATACCTGGAGGAAGCGCTCCATCCGGCAGGACGAGTGTTCGGGTCCAGCTCCGTCGTAGCCGTGAGGCAGCAGGATCACCATCCCACACTGAAGCAGCCACTTAGCTTCGCCTAGGAGACAAAGGTTTCACGTCTGGTCTAGGGGGACTTTACCGTGAGCTAAAGCTGGCAGACACTCACCTCCAGATATGAACGTATCAAAGATGATCTGCGCTCCATTGAAGAAATCTCCAAACTGAGCTTCCCAGATAGGCAGGAGCTTCGGCTGAGCGATGCTCATTCCGTATTCAAACCCAAGAACCGCCTCTTCAGACAACGGGCTGTTACACACCTGAACACACACACAGGACATGATGACACCCTACACTTGAATCCACATGTGAACTTCCTGTAGGTGTATTTTTACCTCCAGAAACGCCGTCTGCTGGGGGCTGATGTGGTTGAGAGGGATGTACGTGTCGTTGGTGTCCTGACAAACCACCATGGCGTGTCTCTGACTGAACGTTCCTCTCCCAACGTCCTGTCCACTTATTCGAATATTAAAGCCTATAATACAGATCATTTCAGATTATAATTGTGTTTTAAGGCAGCAGCGATGCTCAGGTTATGTTGAACAGACCCTGAATGAGAAGAGACCCAAATGCCAGGGCTTCTGCTGTGGACCAGTCTAGTTTGGATCCGGCCTCTAGCTTTTGCAGCCGAGCCTGTTTTAACAGAACAGGATTCAGCTGCTGCAGCAGAAACAGATACTTGATTAAAGATGACAGTCGTACCTGTACGTGGGTTTTCAGCAGGTGGCTGTGCAGCTGCACTTGTTCAGGGATGTCCACCGATTTTGCACCAATGAACTGCAGCAGTGGGACGGGGACCCCCGTGTCCCAGGTGGTGACTCTGGCCTGAGGCTCCACCAGATCCCCCCAGCGACCCTGCAGGTTGGTGGGCGGAGGACTGTACAGCGTCATGTTGGACAGCTTTTCGTTGAGCATGCTGAAATATTTGGACTTGATCCCGGCCCGCTCCTCCTCGTTCATCAGACCCTCTGAGATCAGCTGGTCAGTGTAGGAGTCAGGGACGCTCTTACGGGACCTGGAAGGACACGATCGTTAAACAGAAAATAACATTTTTCATTTAAAAGTCACTTTTAGAAACATCCTCTGGGATGGAAGTTGACTGCAAGTTTTTGTACATTCTTCCTTCGTTAAATACAAAAAAACACACAGATATCCACTTAAATGGTCTACGATCAACCTGAAACGTGGATGTGAGTGAGGATGTACCCACCTGATGATCTTGTACATGGCCGGGTTGGTGAAGAAAGGCTCATCCAGCTCGTTGTGGCCCCACTGCCGGTAGCAGATCAGATCCAGGATGATATCCTTTCTGAAATGTCGCTGGTAGTCCACGGCCAGCCGAGTGGCCCTCAGCACTTCCTCAGCTTCATCTCCATTTACATGGATCACGGCACAGTTCACCATCTTACCTGTAGCAGAGTAAAGTAATCAGGAGTCGGTTGTTCTTTGGTCATTGATGTAGTTCTGAGGCGTTCACTGACCAACATCGCTGCAGTACAGAGAGGACCTCCCTCTTTCTGACGGAGTGGTATAACCCACTTGGTTGTTCACAATGAGATGGATGCTCCCACCAACTCTGTAGTGGGGGAGATTTGAAAGAGTCAAGGTTTCTGGAACAATGCCCTGACCGGTGAAGGAGCCATCCCCATGGACCTGTGGAGAGGAGGCCGACAGGAAGATTCAAATTATTTGAATAATAAACAACCTCAAATCTTCAAAGGTGCTCCAATAATGTGACAACAACTTCCATACGCGTTATCAGGCAAACTAGAGGCCGACCGATATACATCGGGCTGACATATTCAATTTTTTTCTACATTGGCTAAAATTATTTTTAAAAGCCGATTGAAAAAAATAAAATAATAAATCAGGCACCTGTGTGGCCAACTGCCGCCACTACTAGACTGAAGAAAGGACTCGGACCCCAACACACCGTCGTTTTTATGTTTTGAGTTTGTTTTATATATAAAGTTCCATAAATATAAGAGATTTACTGACTTATTTAATTTATATTGCACACAGTGAGTGTTCAGTTGTCTTTCACAATCATCGTGCTGCTAAAACGTGTATATACTGTGTGTATATATATAGCCTTAATAATCAGTGTTAGATATCAGCAACAAAATCTTCTAAAAATCGGCATCGGTCTTTAAAAAAACCCATATCAGTCGACCACTACTACAGACTCTCACATTTGCACCCGAATCACCTACAAACACTTTTCACTCCAGGTATGAAGCAGCACCTGTAAACAGATGACCTGGTCCCCAGGCTGAGCGTTTTCCTCGGGGGAATAGTCGCCCTCTTTCCTGAGCTGCTGCCTGGCGCGGGTTTTGCCCTGAGCCACGGGGTTGATGGCCTCCAGGTGAGACGGGTTCGGGAGCAAGGTGACATGAAGGGGGTGTCCTGCTCCTACATCCAACTCCACCGAGGAGGTGAGGTGGGACAGAACGTCCCCGATGGAAGGCGAGGTATCGGGGAACTCGCTGAGGCCACGCATCTTACGGAACATCAGCTGTGGGGAACGGAGAGAACTGTAATTTAAATATGAGGTTCCTCTCCGATAAGGGGGGTCAGGTGTCTAACCTCTGGTGGAAACTGGAGGAGGCCGGTCAGGAGGTTGAGCCGGCCCCTGTGAGGCATCCCAATGACGATGTCGGTAACGCCGCTGTGGGCCGACTGGTGGAAAAGCTCGTGGAAAAACCCCATCATGCTCTCTGCTCCTTCTCCTCCATAACGCTTCACTGTCGCAAACTTAGTGGCCAGAAAGTGATCGAATTCCTACATGTGGAAAAACAATAAAAATAAATAAATAACCACTTCAAAAGTGACTTTATTCCTCTGCAGATGAATTTTATCCCCGTGATTCTTCTCAGACCTACCTGAGACTCCAGCATGAGCTTGGCCAGGTGTTTCCTCTCACCTGGAGAGAAGCTTTTGCTCTTGAGCTCCTCAAAGCGGTCAGCGAACCACTCCCTCTCCTCCATGCTGCTCAGCTGGCTGGTCTCCACCGACAGGAACCCACAGTAAACTTTCTCTAGGTAGGCCTGAACTTCTTCTATTGGAGCCTGGGGCTGTCCGAAGTGCCGCAGACCTGAACAAAAAGCAAAAGGTGTGTGAGGGCAGCACCAAACAATGTTTCAAACTTATAACAGGCTGGGACGCCTCCTCCACGTAAACCAGCTGCTCCAGATGTTGCTTTAAAAACCCAAAACTGCTTATTTAAACATCTGAATCATCTCTTTATTTAACATAATCACGCCTGAGCTTTGTATGATTTGTTCTATTACGGATTACGTTGTAATTGCAAATATTTATCAACTAATTCCTCTGCGTCATGAACCAGTAAAGCATATAAAAGTCAGTTAAAGACAACTCTGGACTGATTTAGGAGGATTACATCCATCCACAGGAGATGGTTTGAGACATTCTTATCTTAAAACTGCAAACGTGTTCTTCTCTTAAAAGATCTATATACAACCTTAACTAGTTGCTGATATTTTGTAAACCACCCCACAGGTGTCCCGTCTCTCCTGTCACTGAGCCTCGAGTCGTGCGTCGCCAGCTTGGGCGTGAAACTGGACTCCGGCTTGTCGATGTCGTCTCAAATTAACGCCACCATCAGGTTGTTGTTTTTTTTCCAACTTCGCTGCATTTCTAAACAACCAATCCTCGAACAGCTGCACATTGACTCTGTAATTCATGTGCTTATCTCCTCCTGTTGTAGGCTATGCCAACTCTGACTTATTGGGGTCAATGCATCCTGTCTAGCCAGACTCCAGAAGGTACAACATACTGTAGCGCAGCTTTTAGCCAACTCTGATAGGTGTAGACACATAACACAGGTTCTGGCTGACCTACACCGGCTCCCTGTGGCTTACATGTTTCAGTTTTAAATGCTCACCCTCATTTACAAGGCCTTGAATGGTCCCTCTCCCCTTAACATAGTTGACTTGCTGACTTCAGATGCTCCTTTACACTCATTTGCTCCTGTGCGTTCCCAAAGTTTGCTAAATCGAGGAGGGAGCATGCCTTCTCATATGCAGCTCCTAAGCTCTGGACCTCGTTGCCGGTTCGGTCGTGACTAGCACCATCTCTTACCAGGTTCAAATCCACTCTCAAGACACATTTTTTAGAGTTGCTTTCCGTTCATGATCAGCCACCTTAACGCCAGCTAGACCTCTCTGGGGCCTGTTTCTGCATCCAGGCATTGCTCAAGTTGTTTTCCATGACTGCCAACTTAAATTTGTGCTTCACTGCATAAGCTGTGTCGTATGGTGGTTTCTTATGTATTTTAGTAATTTTATACCTCGGAGGTGTGGACTCGAGCCACATGACTTGGACTTGAGTCATTATTTTAATGACTTCTGACTTGATAAAATCTATAAAGACTTGACTTGAACGCCAGTGACTTGCGACTTGAAACTGTTGATTTGTTGATGTGCCACGACACGGACAAAAATCATAAATCATCCTTCGTTCTGGGTTAGATGTTGTTCAGCTGAATGCAGCAGCACTTTGTTTATAATCAGTTTCAGTTGAACTTTCTGCTTGTCTGAGCAAATAAATTAAGCTTTAAGAAACTTTATTTCTGGAATTTATTATCATTGTTATTAAATTGAAGTTGGACAGATGACTTGAAAATTCAAAGTTAAGGACATAGACTTCCACAACATTGACTTTGGACTTGGTTGTCTTTGACTTTGACTCGTCTCGAGACTTGACTGGAAAGACTTGTGACTTGCAAAGCAGTAATTTGGTCACACCTCTTATACCTACCCTTGTTCTTAGCCACCAGATTGTTTTATTGTCATTTTCCCTACATTGTGCATCACTATAGTTTTATTGTTATGCTTTTTAGACGTTTTCGGGAATCGAGTTCACTCTTTTAATGTACAGCACTTTGGTTAGCTCTCATGCTATTGTTAAATCATGCTTTTTAAATATGGTAAGATAAGTTATGGTAAACTATAAAAAGTACAGGTAAATATTTAGTGTTTTCATTAATCTTCGAAGAAAAACAACTGTGTAGGACTTTGCATGTGTTAGTTACACCCTTAAACAACCTGTTATTAAAATAAAAGTAGATTGACATATTCAGATCTAAAAGCATGCTCTTATTTTGTAATTTCTCTTAAACGATGAGCACTTCCGGCTCTTCCAGAGGCTAAACTTAAAAACAGCTCAACTCTTCCCCCTGCTGGTATAAACCGGTACTTGTAATCTCTTTAACTCTCCAAGCTGGATTTCAGTGAAACCGTGGTGATTTGTATGTTACGTTGTTGATAATAAACATAAAAAAGAACATTATGAAACATGTTTTGTGAACATCTCCAGAAGTGTAGCTCACCTGATGTGTTGCGCGTTCCCCTCATGGTACCGGACAGCATGTGGATCTCCTGGACTGTGTCAACAACCGGCTGGTGGGGAAGTAGGGGGTTAATCTTAGCAGCCTTGTGTCCATGTACTCTGTATGCCTCCACCAGACGAGCCAGACCATGATCTGAGCGGAAAGGCAACACAACAGGAAGCCTCATTAGAAGATGGTGCTAAGTATCTGAAAAGTTTACCTCATACTTACCTTGGTTTAGAGCAGCGATACGCTCGAGCTGCAACGTTTGGTCCCGGACAACCTGCTTGGGTTGGTACCCGTACACGCCTCTCTCGGTGTGGTAAAAGCAGCCGAAGACTTGCCGAGAGGCTCTCGGTGGCAGCCTGCACAGCAACGTTTTCAGAAGAAGCACCGCCGACATGTTTCAGCCGAGTGAATATTCAATCCCACATGAGCCAGAGGGGACTCTCGCCAGCCTAAAGGTTTCTAGATGGCGGCCATACTGCAACGCCACAGGCGGACAGCAGGACGTTGGTGGGAGGGGACGCCGCAGCGGCAACCGATTGGTTCCTGGCCACGTTTTGCAACGCGTCAACGACGCTATCTCTCTTTTAAGAGAGCCGGTTCTTTTGGCTCAGCTCACCAATAAGAGCTGGCTCTTTCGGCTCCCTAGTGGCTCCTCAGATTTTCTGTTGCGTAGAGTACATTTATAACCAACATAATGCTAAACTATATGTAAAATGATTTACTAATATAAAAAATGCAATGTATCAAATATTTATCATTTATATGGATTTAAGAAATCTACACTTTCCAACTGCTGGCGCTCATTTTCTCACCGTCTTTGTCGCATTCTCCTCTCTCGCTCTCCTTTTTCCTCCTCCTCATTCCCTCTCGTCTCCCTCCACCCTCATGTGCTCTGCTGTGTGTCTGAGTCTGATCCTCCCTGTTCCCCGCCCCTACTGCTCTGTGTGTGGACAGTCTGGACACGCAGTTACACATGTTGACCAATCGCCTGTAGCTTGCACCAAAGCAAGAGGGGAGGGGGAGGGGACGGCTCCCAATGACGAGCCGGCTCCCGTCGTTTACTTCAAAGAGCCGGCTCTTAGAGCCGGTTCGTTCGCGACCGACACATCACTAGACGCTATTTGTTCCTATTTTATTTTTTTCCAAATTTTTGCGAGCAGAAAACATGCATTTGAAGGGTCTGCCGCTCCATAACGTTACAATCCATACTGAGTTGGGTGTTTTTGTCAAGACAGCAACTGTCTTACAATTTGTAAATAAAAATTGGAATAACTAATTGTTTGAAGTGTCGTTTACTGACATTGTTGTGTTTCTCAATTTTGAGGTAAGTGTTTTGGATGCACATTGTTTTTTAATGATAAAGTGTAAAGGGGCATGCAATAAAGGCGTCCCCACGGACTAAATCGTTCTAGTTACCACAAAGACCAATTTGGCATGCCACCCCAAAATATTCTCTGGCCCCATATGGCCACCCCTGTCAAAATGATCTGGGACACCACTGGCTGGCTGACACGCGCACACACACATACAAGGCACCTTTGTCTGAAAAGCACATGGTGAAAATGTACCCAAATAAATCGATCATTTAGTGCCATACTGGGGGAAAAAAGTTAGCATTTTATGAAGTGATAAAAAAACAAGTCTTTCGTTGGCTAGGGTTAGGGTTATTGAGGCTAATTGTGAAACTAAAATGTTAAGATATCTGTTAACCGCCTCTCTCAGTTCTGTAGAGCAGGGTGTGATCATGTCAGCTTGAGGCTTTTATCTCCCAGGTCTTGTCTCTCTGGAGTGTAATTGTCCTGGCGCAACACCAACTCTGCATTCCTTCTAGGAACTTGGTGTAATTCACTAGGCACATCTTGTACAACTGTGGTTGAGTCAATAGCTTGGTGCTTAAAAACGTTATTGTGTATCAATTACACACAGTAAAAAAAAGACCTGTACAGCAAATAGTAAAAACAAATTTATTTTAATCATTTTTAAATTTGATGTTAGTAAACAAAAATAATTTGACATCCAAAAAGGCGTTCGAGAGCCCAGATCTGCACACAGTTCCTAAAGTTATACAAATGTTTCATTAAACTTTGGGATTTAATATAACTATAGATTTTTAAAAAATATTTAAAGGTAATGTTCACATTCTGGAATGAGTTAACAGAAGAAATAAAGGTCAGTAGTGATATAAACCAGTTTAAAATAAAACTCAAAAAAGAAATGTTAAATAAGTATAAGAATGAAGAAAATGCAATTAACCCAGGACGGCATGCATACTGATGTTTAATCTCTTCTACAAATTAGCAAATCTAAATATAGTTCTAGTTGAACATGAGACTTTTTTATTTTTTATCTTTTGAAGGCACTGTAAATGTTTTGTTGTTCAAATTTAGATGATGAGGATGTAAACCTGAGGGGGTAGGGCTAAATAAGTATATACTTCTCCCTACTCCTTTTCAAACAACTGCATGGAATGATTTTATGAAATGTTGGTGAATGTATATGTTTGAAATAAAATGAACTGAACTGAACATCTTCTGAAGGAAAAAGTTTATTGAATAGTACCTTACCCTTACTCTCATCTTTCCAAGCTCAGGTCCTGTACCAGAGGCATGGGAGCTTGAGGGTTCTGCAGTGTCTTAGCTGTTCCTAGAACTGCACTTTTCTGGCCTGAGATGTCAAATTTTTTTCCTGGATCTGCTTTAGCCACTCCTCCAGTCTGGGGGTTACTGCCCCGAGTGCCCCAATGACCGCAGGCGCCACCGGTGTTTTCACTCTCCTGGCTTCCTCAAGTTCTTCTTTGAGGCCCTAGTGCTTCTCTAGTTTCCCGTGTTCCTTTTTCCTGACGTTGCCATCGCTTGGTAGTGCCACATAAACCACAACAGCTGTCCTCTGTTGTTTGTCCACCACTACAATGTCCAGATGGTTCGCCATCACCATTTTAGTCACACAGGAGCTTGGCTCTCTCATTCTCAACCACCTTACGGGGTGTTACCCACTTTGACCTTGGGGGCTTCCAGTCCATACTCTCCACAGATGTTCCTGTGCATGATGCCAGCCACGTGGTTGTGGTGTTCCATTCCCGCAGGATGTTACATTGATGTCAATTTATATACAAAATTGGTAAAACCCCGTCATATCTTTGCTCATTACTCATCACTCCCATCAGCCAGCGCAATTTGTGTTCCAGTAACCTAATCTCTATGGTTACTCACAAAGCTCGCCCCTCTTTTGGCCGCTCCTCATTCCAGTTTGCTGCTTCCAACGACTGGAATGAGCTGCAAAAATCACTAAAGCTCACTGCCTACATTCCATGATCTACCTTCAATAATTCATTGCAATCAATAGTTTCTGATCAATGTGCCTGCTTCTGAGTACTTAAAGACTGTTCATCTCATCTGTTTTTCTTTTATGTAAAGCTAACTATGGGTCTGTTGCTGCTGCCTCTTGGCCAGATTGTTGTTGTAAAATGAGAATGAGTTCTCAATTGACTCCTCTGGTTAAATAAAAATAGAGTATGCTTTCCCTGCCAGCATCTTACACCCTGCAGGTATGGGGTGGATTGTCTCAGGGGCCTCTTTGCATAGCCTACACCTTGGGTCTTGTCTGGTGCGGTAGATCTTGGCCTCTGTTGCTCTGGTGTTCGGGGCCTGTTCCTGTGCAACCATGATGAGGGCCTCTGTGCTGGCCATCTCCTTCTAGCCATTGGTAGAATTTCTTGATATCAGCCACTTCAGTTATCTGTTGGTGGTACATCCCATGTAGGGGTTTGTCCTCCCATTATATTTCCAGCCCCTCTTCCTCTGTTCACCATGGTCCGAGACATTCACTGAGCATGTCATCTGTTGAGGCCTTATCCTTTACGTTCTGATGGATGTTGGATGTTTCATCCTGGACGGTAGCTCTCACACTTCCTAGTCCTCAGCCTCCTTCCTTACAGCTAGTGTATTCTCAGGGTGCTGGTGTAGCGTCCAGCAATGGTCAGTTTAGGTACGGCCTGACCTTTCACCACCTATTCAACATCTGGTCAGAAAAGAGACAACGTTGCATGTGTTCCCTTTAAATGAGTCTGCCTTAATACCAGCTGGGACTCACAGACTCTTCAAGTCTGAAAGATAAACAATAACTTTCTTTCCCAAGGTCCCATCTGTCTGCCTCCAGAAGAAACAACTCCAGCTCGAATCAGTTGCTAAATTCAAGAATGATTTCCTAAATCAAAATGAACTTCTTCCATGACTTATAATCTAGATAATCATTAAATAAACATTTGTTTATTACTACTTATAATAATTATAGTATAATGAAATGCTTCATTAATCTGTGCACACTGAATGGATGTTATATTATGTTTGTCTACTAGAACCTGCCATGTGTTCAACATGTTTTGACGACAAGGTCCTCACACCTGCATCCACACAATAACAAGTACGGTTAAGTTAGACTACAACACATAACTTGTTTTTTTATATCAGTCAGGACATCCAATATCAAAGGTGTGTTTCTGAGTTGTCTTGGTAAAACATCTCCAAACGTGTCAGCCTCTGATTGGCTGTGCAAATCATAACAGCTAAACCTTAACACTAGATCATTCTGAGAGATTCGACAGTTCTAGAGAATCTGTAGCAAAAGCTCTTTAACCATCAAAGATTTTGACACGTCATCAACACCTTTTTTCACCTGCAAAGCTGATGAGCAAACAGTTCCTGCATAAACAAAGCTGATATTGTTAAGACTCCTTAAGAGTCCGCCAGACGCACGGTTCCATCCAGCTGTTGTGACCAGAGACATCTCTGGACTGAAGAGTCGGTACCACGGTATTCTACAGCCCTCCGGTACCAGCGGTCAGCCGACCCCTGTGGCTTTCGGATCCACCAAGAGGGTCTCTCTGAAATGGGTTAAGTAGACATGACAGATTGCATCTGAATGTTCTTGTGATAACAACTTTATAGTTTAGAGCAAACCAAATTCTTTTTCATCCGGAGACGCCGCTTTCCGAGATTCGGAAGTTCTGACCAACATCACATTGACACATAGCCTTCAACACATTTAGCTACATCCAATCACAGAAAATGCTTAGTCATGTTTTAAATTGTAAAGTAAATTCTTACTTTTATAAACCTGACTCTTCTTGAAATAACACGAAGTGTGGTTGATCACTGAAAAAGCTAAGAACCTAGATCTTTGAATTAAATCCTAGAATCTTCTGATTAATTATAATAAAGAACCTAGCAGGTTTTTATTTTATATTTATATAGAATATTACATTTTCCTGGTTATAACAAATAAAATAGAATTTGCCTCCGCTACACTGGATTTGGGATGGAACCCTCCATGCATGGTTGGGATACATATAAATCACAGACACTTACTGGCCCCTTAATTGAGTACACCCTGCTAGTACCAGGTTGGACCCCCTTTTGCCTTCAGAACTGCCTTAATCCTTCATGGCATAGATACAACAAGGTACTGGAAACAATCCTCAGAGATCTTGACATGATAGCATCACACAGTTGCTGCAGATTTGTCGGCTGCTCATCCATGTTCCACCACATTCCAAAGGTGCTCTATTGGATTGAGATCTGGTGACTGTGGAGGCCATTTGAATGCAGGGAACTCATTAAATTCAAGAAACCAGTCTGAGATGATTCAAGCTTTATGACATGGTGCATTATCCTGCTGGACATAACCACTAGAAGATGGGTACACTGGTGATAAAGGGATGCACATGGTCAGCAACACTACTCAGGTACGCTGTGGCATTGCATCAGTGATCATTTAGTACTAAGGGGCCTAAAATGTGCCAAGAAAATGTCCCCCACACCATTACACCACCACCAGCAGCCTGAACCGTTGAAACAAGGCAGGATGGATGCATGCTTTTATGTTGTTGATGCCAAATTTTGACCCTACCATCAGAACGTTGCAGCAGAAATCGAGACTCATCAGACCAGGCAACATTTTTCCAATCTTCTATTGTCCAGTTTTGGTGAGCCTGTGCGAACTGTAGCCTCAGATTCCTGTTCTTGGCTGACAAGAGTGGCACCAGAGGTGTGGACTTGAGTCACATGACTTGGACTCAAGTCACAACTTGGACTCGAGTCATCATTATTTTAATAACTTCTGACTTGACTTGATAAAATCCAAGACTTATGACTTGACTAGGACTTGAACGTCAGTGACTTGTGAGTTGAATTGACCTGAATCTGTTGACTTGATCATAGTTGATATTTTAGCACAAAAGTGGAACGAAATGGCCAAAAATCATAAATCATTCTTTGTTTTGGGTTTGATCTTGTACTGCTAAATGCAGCAGCACTTTGTTTATAATCAAGTTCAGGTGCACTTTCTGCTTGTTTAAGCAAATAAATGAAGCTTTCAGAAGCTTTATTTCTCGAATTTTTCATCATTCATTTAATTGAAGTTGGATAGATGACTTGAAAATTCAAAGTTAAGGACTTGGACTTAACTTGGACTTCTACATCATTGACTTTGGACTCGGCTTGGTTGTCTTTGACTTGACTCGAAAAACTTGACTTGCAGTGACCTGGTCACACCTCTGAGTGGCATCCAGTGTGGTCTTCTGCTGCTGTAGCCCATCTGCCTCTAGGTTCGACATATTGTGCGTTCAGAGATACTCTCCTGCATTCCTTGGTTGTACGAGTTGCTGTTGTGTTTCCATCAGCTCAAACCACTCTGGCCATTCTTCTCTTGACATCAACAAGGCATTTTACCCCACAGAACTGCTGCACTATGAATGTTTTACCTTTTTCGGACCATTCTCTGTAAAACCTAAAGATGGTTGTGTGAGACAATCCCAGAAGATCAGCAGTTTCTGAAACACTCAGACCAGCTCACCAACCAGGAAACGTTCAAAGAAACTTAAATCACTTTTCTTCCCCATTCTGAAGCTCAGTTTGAACTACAGTGGATTGTCTTGACCAAGTCAACATGCCTAAATACATTGAGTTGCCAGCATGTGATTGGCTGATTAATTTGTGTTAACAGGCAGTTGGAAAGATGTTCCCCAATAGAGTGGCCAGTGAGTATTAAGTTTATATAAAGACCAAGATTCAAATATGAAGTCACAATATTCAACAATTCTATTTATTTTTTACTTGTCAATAACAGTGATCCACCTTCATCACTGAAGTCTAAACACAAATTTATTTAATTACAAATTAAAGCTAAACATTTTCCTCTTGTCTGTTTAATAATTTTCATTAAGACCATTAGCATATTAAATTTAATTACTAATTCCTATTTGGATACATTTCTCCTGATTCCTTCTACATAAAATCTGTACTGATGTGGGCTCATCAAGAAAATGTTTACTCCAAAGAGTCGGCCTCTGGGAGCCTTTCTTCACTGGCTGAACTGAAGGTGACAACCCCAACTGCACTAGTGGTCCTCTTAAAACAAAGCCTTGTAAAAGTATGCATATAGGGAGCCCAAGTCTTGCTCATCTAACAAATGAGAATTAAAGTCTATGGAGGAAAAAAAAAAGTTAACTTCTGATCCCATTTGACATGTGCCACGGATTTAACATGTCTGTGGATTTCAAAAACACATCTGAGGCAAAAAAGCATTTGTATACAAATGCAATAGAAATTTTGGGTTGTGTGAGAAGACGTAGAGGACTACAAATGTTTGTCTCTCTTAAAATAAGTTATTGAACCAGACAAAGGAAAAATGGCAGAGTTTCACAAGCTTTGCATCCTTCTTCCAGGACGACAGGAGCGTTAAACGTAAACCACTATAAATCTGACCTTGGTGAGTAGCAGCTAGCTGTGGGCGTAAAGATCCTGCTGTGACGTCATATAGGAGACGTCTGATTTGTAGTCTTTAATTACAAATTTTAAGCTAATAAATCAGAAATTATATAACTGTCAAAACATAATACTTTTCATTTAAATTTAAAAACATGTGACTTGGGGTATAAGGCTAAACGTACCAGAATAAAACTTTTATAACTAAATTCACTTTTTCTTCATTCGGGGAACTGATGAGTTAACAGGAAGGGGAGGAGACTAAAGAGCCTAAGCCTCATTATTGTAAGTAGATGGCCGTGACTTAAACTCCCTATAATCTTTACACTATTACATTTTGTACAAATTAAGTAAAAATGACATCCTGTGGTAAAATTTAGTTACTGCAACCACTTAAAACAACTACGGAGCTTTTTGCTGGCTGTCATCCAATTACAATAGCAGTATTAGCTCGCAGGAGACACAGCAACCCCACACTCACTGATGGTAAACAGTAGTTACATCCCTCAATAGTTTTGGAAGGAGAAAAAAAATCTCCACCACCAACTGGATAGGAAATGTGCTTCCATTTAACCTTCCTTCTACAAATCTAAATTTAGATTTTCTCACTGTAAAATTCTCACTATATTCTTACATACTGCACCTTTAACAGATGAAGTAGGCTCTACATATGACTACAATGCTTCAACAGAAGCACACCAAAGACATGACACACTGGGGAGGGAATAGAGATTTGAAAAAAAAGACAGGTCTTTACAACACTGGACAAAAACGCAAAGACACCCACGCACACACACACAGTCCATATTAGGGGAAATGGTTTAATTTCAAGACATAGGCAAAGAAACACCACAAAAACAAACACTGACCAAAAAATAAACAGAGTCTTAAGCCTATGCACTCTGTTATGGTGGGAAAAGCAGAAAAACAAAAAATAACCTACATAATTAAAAAGCAAGGCTTAAACTAAACAGTTAACTTTTCAACTAAGACAATTACCCACACAAGTTTTCAAAAACCCTAACCGGCAATTTTATGTGGAAAGCACAATAACTAACATGAAACTTACCACAATTTAGAGGATCCCAACCCTCCCCAAAAACCTACAGGTGAGAAACAACTAAGAGATCCACATAAATTCATAAAAATTAGGCTTCTGTTAGACGCTAAAGCACAAGAGGAAAAAAAAACTGCTTGACATCACCAAAGGGCCAAACTTAAGACTGGTCAAGGCCACATCGAGAGGTCAACCAATTTTTCAGTTGTTTTTGTCTTTAATATAATCTTTTTCCTTTTTTTTTTGTCATTTTCCCAATATAAAAAGCTTCACTGGTACAAAATATGTATGAACAACCAGTTGTAGAAATTGGACAGCCGGTTATGCGTTTTCAAATCCCACCCACATTGAAAATTAAAAATTAGACCAAACAGAAAACAAAATTGTACTGTGTGTGTTAATACGGATCACATCAAGATGCACTCACTTTGGCTTTCCTCAAGACAACACATCTACTAAAGTACTGGTGGAATACGAACAAAGTCCAACTGATTACCAGACGTGCCTCACTCGTTTTTGTTGGACAAGAATACCTAAAGAGATGCAGAACTACCACACTGGGGAAAAAGCACTTCAGAACATGAGCTAGGAGATGAATCAGGTGATTGTTGGAGCCGGTTTGTGATGGAAGCCCCTGAAGTGAGTCCAGTTCCTGTTGGGACTGCTGTGACTATACTTTGTGCTCATCTTTGCTGTTTTTGGTTGCTTTTCTTTTAAACTCTCAATTCACAGTAAACACCATAAACTGCTTCGCACCAGCTGACATTTCTTATGCTTTTAGCTCAATTTAACTTACATTTTAATAAAAGGAAAACCACAAAACAGTTGGCATCACAAAGTGTTGCATGTTCACTAAGAGACGTGTAATCTTCAAATGTATAGGGAAGTTTATTGTTTATCTACAATGTTTTTAAAACCAACTGTTCAAATCGAGTACATCACAAAATACAATAACACACCGTAGAGGGAGGTGGGGAGGGGGAGAGAGAGGACATCATTGGGTGATGAGAGCTTTCATGACACGGCATAAAACAGAAAAAAGAGAAAAATTAAATAAAAATAAAAGCGAGCTGCAGCAATCGCTAAACCGAGGCCTAATAATAAGGATGTGTGGGCAGTTTCTAGACGTATATATGGCACTTTGAATATTGTATTGCATTTGGATAGAAAAAACACTGTAAAAAGCACAAGCCCATATTAAAAGAGAAATCAGTGGTACCTTGAAAAATTTGGGATCAAAATCACACACACACACCACATTCTGTCAAAGTGTTTAACTCCCACAATTGTGCTTCAACATTTCCTTACAAAACTAGAACACTCCTGGAGCAGTGTTTCAAATTTGGTATTTTTTCTTTTTTATATTTATGGGTTTTAGGAAAAAATAAAATCTAAACTTAAAAAAGGTCAAATAGTGAAATTGTGCATTTTGTGTGGTAATCCTGCATGCCGAGTTTCAAACACATAAAAACCCCTGAGTTGACAACTCTATAGCGCCACCAGGTAAGCATTTTGGGAACTTTTTTAGGGGGGAGGGTGAAGTGGTTATTTTACCAGGGTTGTTTTAACAATGTGAAACACAACAGAGAAAATCTCACCCTGATAAAAAGTGTAAACTTGGTGCAGAATAATGGAATGTTTTTGTTTACCAACACGACTGTGGTGGATTTAGTCTTTATGTGCTGTGTGACGAGTGAAACTGAGACATAATGCTGAAAGTCACTTCAAAAGGAGGAAAATCTGCAAAAGTAAAAAGACACAAAGCAATAAGTGTGTGTAAAATATGCAGAGACCCACAGGCTGTGTGGTATCCGAGTTATATCTCTTCTTCAGGGGCTCCCACGTTTGCAACCATAAGTGTGCACGCTGCAGTGTGTGTGTGTGTGTGTGTGCGCGTGTTTGTGTGAAAAGAAAAACTAGATATTACAGCAAAACAAAATTGTGTATTAAAAAAACATTATGACACATGGGCACTTGCACAACCAAAACAAAAATCAGAAACATTGTCTAGCATCTGTGTGATTAACAGTTTGTAAATCTTCCATCACAAGGCATCCAAATGAACCCAAAGTGAAACATCCATCAATTAAATTAGTTAATTCACAGAAAGTCAACAAGACGTACCACTTCAATGTAGGAAAATCACTAGCCTCAAAAGTGTCACCCTTAAAGAAAAAATTAACCCAAACTAGAATTCAAAAGAGGAATTTCTGAGCTGTTGGGAGTTTAAAAGTGATCCCAAACAGTCGTGCTGATTAAACAGATTTTTAGTCCTCTTAAAAAAGAATTTCACCCCTCCCCTCCCAACACAGATGACAATACAACATAAATCTACAAAACAAAAGAGTAAACCCAAAGTTGTGCCTGGGTTCTGTTAGTTAAACCTCTATAGATTCAATGGTATAAAATATAGGTAATCTAAGTGTGCATTTAAACCACAGATTGTCTATTTGTGAATCAGTTCTAAAAAAGTTGACTCATGTAGGTAGTCATTTCTCTCAGCAGAGCAAATGTACCTCTTATTGTGCCATCACGGTTTAATAAAAAGGTAAATACACTGAAGAATTTGGTAAATGAAAAAATTATTTTTCAAATAGCCTTGATGTTAATCTGCCCACTTAGATCAATACAGATCACTGAGGGATTTTCCTTATGACTTTCAAAAATGTCGGAAAATGGTCTGTAGGATTTTTTCTCTTTTCGTAAGAAGCCAAAATATTGCTAATGGCACCAAATAGCACAGCTGTGTGCCAATCCCTGTATTCAACTGTCAAGTGAACTTTACTGAGAGAGGTAAAAGAAAGCAACATAAAAAAACACACTAAATTAAAAAGTTAGAAATCCCACAGGTTTTTTTTTCTTAAAACATTCGTTAACACAAAAAAGATCTCCTAAATTAAATCATTTTCACATTTAATTGCTTGACCTCTCTCCTGCCCGTCACATTTCTACACAGAAAAATGCAAAGAAAAACAAAAAAATATGAGTATACATGCAGAAAAATCAGGTTGAGCTAAGGTCAGGGTCAGTGGGTGGCCAGGTATTGGTCAGGCGAGCTTAGAGAGACATCACAGACAATGGTGGGATGATGAGGCCAGGGGGGTTTGGCTTGGCTTTCAACATCATGAAGACATGCTAGGCTAATGATGAGCAAACAGGCATGGAGATTTGTTCTAAAAAAGGAACAAAAACACGGAGAGAGAGGAGAGACAGAGACAACAAAGAGGAGAGAAGAGAAAGTTAGGGGCAGGCACAAGAATCATTTAGCCATGAGGCACAATAACCAACAAAAATAATGCCAGTCACCACAAACAGTAACGGACAACACGGCCAACACACCCCCTCTCCCAACACACACAAAAACAATACACAGATTTAAGGAAGTGACACCACCAGGATATATGGCAGACTCAGACATGCACATACTGTATACTTGGCACCCAAAGAGATCCATCTAGAGCCAGTCCCTTGTGGGAGACTCTGAGGATGGATGGAATGAATGAATGAATGAATGACTGCAGGAAGTTGTTAATATAGAAGTAGAGAGGTAGCCTAGCTCAACATGGCTTACAAAATGAACGACGACAAACATAAAATAAGACATGGAAGAGATGAAGGGGACAAACGGAAACGTCTAGACTGCAAAAGGTGTCCACAACAGCACAGATGAGACAGACTACATGTAAAATGTCAGATTCAGGTTGAAGCACTGGGTTAAGGGTCCATGTGGATTCGCTTCAGCCCTTAAACACAAAATCTGATCCTTAGTCAACCTGTCTTACTTGACCTGAAGGCAATGAAGTGGCAAGGAAACACACCTGATGCTCTCTACTAAATATACAGTGACACAAAGTACCTCCAGCAAACACTGACTCCAGTGATCGTCATAAATAATCATATACAATAAAATATTTCAGACTCAAAGTACATGATAAAATCGCAGGAATGAAACACAACAAAATGTGGAAAGATCATTGCATTTTTTTCCTCATTTTTAAAAACTTTTTTTAAGGAAAAGGGTGAGTCTCCCTCCTGTGGTGGGTTCCTGTCCCCCTGTACCCCCTGAGTCTCTGCTGTGGTGACCTTGGCCGGAGGGTGAACTTACCCTAGCAGTGCTAGCATTAGAGCTGGGGAGGGGGGGGGGAGACCCCAGACTAGGATCAGTAGGGTTTGCTGTCGTTCTTAGAGCGCTTCAGCTGAACCTTCAGCCTCTTCATGCCGATCTGGAAACCGTTCATGGCCTGAATGGCAGCCTGCGCAGACACAGGATTGTCGTAGCTGACGAACCCTGAGGGACAAACAGAAGCACCGTGTCAAATAACTCTGGGGTCTGAGGAACAGCGAACGACAGAGAGGGCGTGTGTTCAGCAAGTCTGTAGCTCTGTTAGGAACTTCTCAAAGCACTTTTAGGTTTCAGTTGGACGAGAGAAAGTAAATCAACCCGTTACACCGATGAAGTCTGAGCAGTCTCTACATAACTCCATCCATACCAAACTGTGAAGCCCTTTTCATTTCCTAAACAACAAACAGCCGACTTATTCAGGGTTAGAAACTACAGCGTGAAAATGGGTGCTTACCAAAGCATTTGCTCAGATTGGTCTGTTTGTCAATGAAGACTTTGGCAGAGACCACATTTCCAAAAGGCATGAACATCTGCAGAAGATCCTGGTCCCCAAACTCCTGCGGCAGGTGGTAGATGAACAGGTTGGCACCCTCTGGCCCTACTCCATTCGGAAATAAATCCAAGAACCCAAGTCACACACAGACGTTCATGCTGACAAACACACTGCAACAGTGAGTTAAGGATCTGCTCACCTTCCTTCTGACTGCCAGCCACGCTCTGCTGCAGCAGAGACTGGCTGTAGAGGGAGGGGAGGGCGGAGGCTGTGTACTGCTGCATCCCTGAGTAGGCCTGGGTCAGAGCATCCATGGAGCTGGCAGCTGATCCGTTGGCCATTGAGGCTCCCAGGCCACCATTCATGGCCCCCATACCTGTGACGCCAAAGAAAGGTACACCACCTAATTAACGTTATACTCCATCAGGATAGTTAACCTAGGGAATCATCTGATCAGACCCAAGTGGGGAGATTCTCACCACTGACGCCGCTAGTGAGAGCGTTTAGGTTGTTGAGGCCCATAGAGGTGCCTGTAAGACCCTGCAGCGTGCCCAGAGATGCCAACGTGTTCATGGCAGCACCAGCACTGGACCCTGCTGTTGACCCAGCTGTCGAAAAACAGAATGACACTCAAATCCAATCCAATCCAATTGTATTTATATAGCGCATTTAAAAACAGCATGTCAGCTGACCAAAGCACTGCACAGAGTTAAACCTAAATTAAACAGATTAAAACCGTCATAAAATAGAAACACCTAAAATCAAAAGTTAAAACAGCCAATAAAAAGAGAAGTCAATAAAAACAGAAAAGAGGCACAGCATAAAAAAACTGATCATTGACCAAAAGCTAAATTAAAGAAATGTGTCTTTAGGCTGGATTTAAACTGTGCCAGTGAAGAAGCCTGGCGTACCACCAGAGGGAGTGCGTTCCAGAGTCTGGGAGCAGCAAAGGCGAACACTACACAGAATTTATAATGACTGCCATCCATGAGAGAAGATGTGATGAAAATCAGAGGAGGGGGTAGTTGAAAGATCTGCCTCATAATGAGGAACGGCCATATTTAACCCAGATGGTGTGTGTATTCGGCCGCTGATAAAAAAGGAATTGGGGTCCTAATAAAATTTCCTAAGTGGGTGATTAAAACCCATAAACTATGTTAGCACAGGATGAGGGTCATTAAGTAAATAGCTGATAGGAAGCAGCAGGAGACTTGACAGTGGTAATGCACGGTATAACCAGTATGCAGTTACCAGTAGAGATTTTGACTCTGTCCAACCACAACTCATTGTGACCATTCTGTTGTCAATCTGCATCAAGTTTGGACCAAAGCAGCAGGAGCTGCTGCAGCACAGAATGTGTGGTCAAGAAGAAAGCAGGTTTATGTCAATTATCTGGACCTGGTTTGGGTTTAAAGTCGGGGATGCCGAGCAGAAAAACACCCTCGGTAGCATATGCTGGGTCTGCGTTAATGGCACTTTAACACCAATTCCCTTAACTGAAGTTTATTTTATGATTAACATATGATTAACACACGGGTTTCCAAACTTTTTGGACCTCTTCTGTGATTTAGTTGGAACAATTTTTCTCTTACAGTCCTTCACAGATTCTGGTATTTCTCCTGTTCATTAAAAAGGTCTAGTCTGAAACCAGCTCCTCTCTCTTTTGCTCGCTCTGTGCTGCCAGTGTGCATCCTGGTGGATCAGCTGATCCGAACGCTAATCTGAGCCCAGCTCAACAAAAAAGGCAAAGAAATTGGATAAACCCCCCAACCTTATTTTAATATTATCAAAAAAAATGCAGCAAAGCATCAATTTACCTGCAGTTATTCCTTCCTAAAGTAAAACTTAATTTCTATGAGCAAAAGAAAAATGAATGTATCAGGAAAGCAGGAAGAAATGTTCTTTGTCTTTACGTTTTTCACCATCAAGAATCTTGTGGTTTTGTGACCCGGGGTAATTAGCTGACAATCTGATTAGCCCGTTTTATTTATATATATATATATTTATATATATTAGGGATGCACAGAAGGATCAGCATTTGATCGTAATCGGCCGATAATGCCCCTATCGGTTTTGATCGGAGTTTTCAAAATAGATCAAAGTAGACCGATCATCGTAGGGTTGTCAAGGTAACCAATGTAGCGGTAAACCCCGGTAAAAAAAAGTTGACAATAATAATAACAGTCTTGTTTTTTAAAAAAGATATATTATCTTGGTGGATTACCGTGGCTGCGGTGTAGGCGCGGTGACCCTTACCAGCCACCGTATCATCTGCTGAAGTTGCCGGCGGCACATGCGCACTTTGTTGCTTACAACCAAAACTTTCTTGAAGCTAAAGCTGAAATAATGGCCAAAGGAAGAGACGGCAGCACTCGGGAGGACATTTATTATCCCTCAAAGAAGACAAAGTCGGAAGTATGGGCATTTTTTGGATATTTGAAGAAAGCCGAGGGACAGTTGATAGAAGACAGCTATCCTGTTTGCAGCATGTGCAGAAAAAGTGTCTGTGAAAGGCAGCAACGCTTCAAATCTCATGACACATCTGCATGACCATCACCCACAACTCTACAGTCAACGCAAGGCAAGCTAACGTTAGCGTTTTAGCTAAAATGCGTGATCCGAGGATTTGGGTTGAGGGAGAATGCAACGAGTCGCTATATAAAGCAGCCGCAGCGCCGCTACCTGCATATAAACCGTGTCGCCGACACCCCCATGTTGAAATGATGCTATGCATTACGGGGCTCCCAGGGGCAGATAAGAGTTGGTCTCTCTCCGAGAATAATTATGAATTTAACAATGATTACTGCCTGATGACATTTTCCCACATCTGCAAAGCTCACTGGAAGGACACAAACCGAGGACAATATTTTCCTGATATAGGGTTTATTTACTTAAGTAAGGGTAAAAAAGTATCTGATTAGAAGGCTACTTGAGTACTGAGTATCATCTGAACTAATATTTTTAAAATGATGACATCAAACAGACATAAAATAAGAAGTTATGGGCAAATATTGGTATTTTAAAGACTAAAGGGAAAAAATGTAAACAAATAAACAACATAATTCCAAAATAACACATTTTAGGCAAAATTTAGACACAAACTGAGGACAATATTTCCTGACATACAGGGTTTATCTAAATGTGTGAAAATGTAGCACGTTTTAAAAAAAATACTGCGATAATACCGAAAACCGTGGTAATTTTGGTCACAATAACCGTGAGGTTAAATTTTCACACCGTGACAACCCTAATACAGACCATTTTAGATTAGGTTACATTTCCTTTAGCCCCGGATTATGTAGTTTGTAGCATTCATTATAATGTTGTAGAAAACTTCTGGCCAATCCACGTGATCGGTATCGGTGATCAGCATTCTTTGACATCGGTATCGGTGATCGGCAGCAAAAATCCTGATCGGTGCATCCCTAATATATATATATATATATATTAGGGCTGCACGTTATTAGGAAAACCTGCGATATTCGATAACAATGATTAATATTGCGATGATGATATCACTTGCGATAAATAAAAACTTAAAAGGGGAAAAGAAAATTAACAAGAAAAGGTAATCAGTGGATCCCGGGAAAAGCAGAACAAAGCTAACTCAGGTGTTTGCTAACCATCAAAATTAAGTGCTGTCCGCCTCGGGGGCAGGGATTTAATCTATGAGAGCCCACCCAATTGGCCAAATGGATGAAGAGCTCCATTTGATTTGTTAAAAAATCCTAATACTTCCGTTTGATTGACAGAATGCATTATGTTTAGCAAATATTTTAGCTGACCATGTATTGCGATATTCATCAGTTCTTTGCGATATGCATATTGTGCATGCTGATATCGCGATAACGATATATTTACGATATATTGTGCAGCCCTAATATAATATAATATATATGTGTGTGTACATACATACACACATTTTTTTGAGCCGTTAGATGCTCTTATTTTGAAGTCCAGTTAGCTGCTTACCGTCCCAACCCACACATTATACCCCAACAGTTGGGGTACCTCCCCAATGACCACCGTTGTTCATCTGTTAAGTTTGTTAGCTAAATTTTACAAGTTTTCAGCTGATAAAACGCACAGAAGGCAGTGGTTAACGGCCATTTCTAGTGGATAAACCACCCACACTGTGGCAGACAAAGTCTCATGACAAAAAAAATGAGAAAATATCGGCTCCACATTTCTAGAAACAAACTTATAGCCACTAATGACTTATTTGCTTTTGTTGTATAATTATGCGCGACTGCAGGGACGAGGAGCCGGGCGGAACCAACTGAGTTAGAGGAGGGAGGTGGGAGAGCTGTGCTGCTGACCAGTCCTGGAAAAAAAGGTGTGTGAAAGTGACAATGCCAGAGTAGGGGGGGGGGGGGTTAGGTCTGTGTGTGACCCGCTGTAACAGTCTTGTTACAATAATTACACGAAATGTGTTGTGTAATAGTGGTTTTATTTAGTTAGCTTAAATCACAGACGTACAGCTCTGGATAACAGCTAAGACAGGCTTCTTGTGTGGAAGTGCGCAGTTACCCGGACGTAAACAATAACTTTCAGTGGGTCTTTAACTACACATCTACCTCCTCAACTCAAACTGGAAATTGGGACTGTTCTGATAAAAGGCTCATAAGCTTGTTGATGTTAAATTTACCTGGACTGGCCAGAGCTCCCAGCGCTGCAGTGCTTGTGGACAGTGCACTGGTAGAAGTTGGGCTGACGGAGCTCTGGGCTGCAGCTGCAGCTGCAGCCAGCGTGGCCAAGTTCTGCAGCTGAAGAGGATTTACACCAGCTGAGAAGAAAAAGGGTAATTTTAGATAACAACCTCGTTTGATTTTACAGAATAACATTCCCAACCAAAACGGTCTCAGAAGGGCCCAATTTATACAGAATACAGAAAATATGTTTAACATTGTGCCAATGTGCAAAAAGAGTTGATGAAACGTGACAAGTTACTTATAACAATGTTGACTGAAGTCATATTTACTTGAATTTTATTTTTAATTGGCTTTGCAGCCCGACTTATGAACTTACCTCCTAGCCTCTGTAGGCCATTAAAACTGCTTTGATTACTGGTCGACGTAGCCTGCTGCAGCAACTGTTAACAGGACAGAACATGTTTTTTATTATAATGGTTTAAGAATCTAAATATACACAAGCGTTTGACTTGGCATTTAACAAAGAATGAGGGCTGATGCACCATTTGTGCATTTAAACATTCAAAATTATACATTTGTTTTTAAACAGTAATTTGCCTTTTTTTTTTTACCATGTCTGGCTGTGAAGCAAACAGAACTGATGTCTGAATGCCGGTAACAAGCCTTACAGATTTACTCTCAGGTGGAGCATCAAAGCTTAATTTGCCTCTAATAAAAATGCACATTTTTAAACTGAAGAAATAGCAGATTGCCATTTTTTGTCCCGATTTTCCTTGGCTGAAACAAAACGGCTCGTCTGTTCATGTTTAAGTCACGTGGTCTTTGGCTCAGAATTACAGGAGGCAGGAGTCACGTGCCATTGTTGTTCAGCCAGAACACAAACTGAGTGGGAAGATGTTCCCAGTTTCAGCCAAGAGGATGAGTTTATACTTCAGATCTGAATCCTGCACAATATCTTACATTTCCACTCTGAAGCATCACCATTTAAAAATCCGTTACTAGAACATATTATCTCAATCAATGCTGCATTTGTAGCTATTGTTGAGCTTTTGATACCTCACAGTAAAGCTGACATCATCCTCACACAAGAACAGGTGAAACAAGAGCATCACTTACAGCCAAGTACTGTGGTGTAAGGGTCCCCAGCCCTGCCAGGTTTCCCCAGGGAGAGGCGTTGTTAAGCTGCTGGATTTGCTGCACTAGCTGCTGCTGCAGGCGCCGCTGCTCCTTGTCCCTTTGTGTGTCGGCAAACTTCACCACCAAAGGAGAGGAACAGCCCTGAAGCAGTCAACAGGTAAAATATGTTAAACCAGTTCTAAACCATGAGCAGGATTCAGCTATCTGTTGATAAATGCAGGCATGTTGTGGCGAGGAATTAGCTTCAATATGAACGAATACCAAAGCTAACACACACAGAGGACATCTGCCATGCATAGCGGAGCCAGGCTACATTCCAAAATAGGTACAAGACGCTGGTGCAGACGGTGAATCCTTTCAGCACTGTGCAGAGCTCAATTCAGTCCACAGATAAACACACAACAGATGGAAACGTTTAAAAAAAATACAGACATTCAAACATGGATGTCAGCTGACATTTAGAAAAATGCATAACGATACAATGAATGTCACAAACAAACAGTCAGATACTGTTCAGAAAGACGCATGGACAAGGCATGCGGTGCAAAAGTTTTGAGAGTTTAGAGCCAGACAGGGACCAGGCTAGACAGGGAAAATGGCCTCTGCACCAACAGCACCCCCCATGTCTGCTTAAATATAGGGGAGGACCAGGATACGGGGTGGGGGAAAGGGCAGCGCCCCAAGCAAGGCCCAAATTTTATCTGGTAGGAGCAGCGTTATGTTTGGTGGAACTCATAATTAGACCTGGTCCAACACTTCACTGGGGAGCCTCTGACCTAGCTGTCAGATTACTGCTGCTCTACTTCCACAGACTCCACTAGCAGAGTCCTCAGCCCCAGTTTGTATTAAAGACATCTGATAGGGTGGCTGCTGGGTTCTAGGTTAATTTCTTGTCAACCTAAATTTGATTAAATTATTTCCCTTGTGGTTTAAAGAAGATTAATGGAAGATTTATAAGTGCTAAAAATATGAGAATCAATAAATGAGCTGCTTTTAATAAAAATATAAGAGTTTGTGTTGCATCTCGTTAGCTCAGCTTTAAGTCTCATTCAGTTACTTTGCAGAAAACAGTTACATTTTATAATCAGCTAGAGTGTTTTTGAAATGTCTCATGCTCTGATGAACGAAGACCACCTGCTTTGGACAAGCTTTCCATCTTTCCAACACAAGGGGGCAGCAAAATGTATTGGGGGGGGGGGGGAGGGAGGGGAAATGAGAAATAGGTGCTAGGGGTACAGTACCTCCATAGTTTGAGAGTGATGCATGGTTTTGATTGCATTCTGTGCCATTGCCCTGGTAGCAAATGTGACAAACGCACAGCCTGTAGGGGGCGAAAACAATAGGAAAGGGGGGAGGAGGGAGGGAGGGACAAGAAGAAACAAAACAAGACAAAAAAGGTTTGGACAACTCGTTATGAACCCCAAAAAAGACATTACAATACAGAGAATGGCAACTCCCAAGCACACAGAACCACCCTCACTGGTTAGCACACTGAGAAAGAACACGACAAGGAGAACAGTAACACGTGTCACATGAGCACAATGATCAACTTAAATACCACCTAGAAAGGCTCGACTACATGGTGTCATGGTGAAACGTGAACATGATTAGACCTACACATATGCACACTTACATATACAAGGCCTGCACATAAAAGACTATCACAACCCATTTTAAATGGAAGTTCTTTGTCCAATAATATTTGTGCACAAACATTCAACGGCCGTCTCAGGCTTTATGCAGCAGAGAGCGGAGATGTGCCGACGAGGTAATTCCAGCCTTTGCAGTATGTGATTAAGGAGGTGGTAAAGGAGCAGCTGAGCCTATGAACACTTGCAGCTAGCAGTTGCCAGGGCAACAGGCCATTGTGCTGGACAGCGAGCACAGTGGCCCTTCACTGTAACATGTGGAGGCTGAGGATCAGTGATGGGAGGACGGTCTACAGAGGGATGCTATGTATTGTGAATAAACATAATTTGATATGGGAACAGCTAGGTTTGGGAGGGGCTTCTATCAAGTCTCCATGAGATATCTGTGCATAAGGCAGTGGCGGCTGCCAGAATAACAACGCAGCGCCTCAACACTAAAAAGCACACCCACCTCTGCTCTGACCATCTGGTCCTCGGAGGATTCGGCACTCTTCTATCTGTCCAAAAGACGAGAACATCATTCTGACCTCGTTCTCGCCGTATTTTTTTGAAACCATTCCGATGAAGAGTTTTCTGTCTTCCACTGCTGCAGGAACACAAAAAGAAAGCAACAAATAATTAGGCAACCATGGAAGCAGCACTGCAGTCGTTTTTGTGCCTAAACCTTTGACGCTTTTCAAAGCCCTCATTTCTCACTCTCTCCAGTCCTTTCCCAATTTGAGAATTAAAGTGAATCTGCACTTTTTCATATTTTTAATTAATTTCCTTCAGCCAGTATGTGCTAAAATGACCCTTTACAGAGTTGATGAAGTGACTCAGACCCCGCTGACCCCTGTGGCCAGAATACAGCACTTGCAACTTCAGCATATCCGGACTGGTCCCCGTTAGCCCATAGTAAAGTGGAGCTGAAATGCCTGGCACTGGAGTCTGCTTCCGGCACTTGATTGCTGAATGTTTTAGATCATGAACACAGCTATTTGTTTGATATAGTGATGCACCTCTTCTGTAGAAACTAATGAAGGCTGAGGAAACATTTCAGCTGTTAGATAAAGGAGTTAAAAAGACCAACGCACAGCAAAGTGGAGAGTTTCACGACACTACATTGATAAACTCCAGGGGGTGTTAAAAACAAGCTACTATGTGTGCATTAAATTGCTCTAACTTTGTGTACAGTTACTCCTGTTAAAAATAGGCAACCTACCAGTTGTTTTTTCACTGTCAGCAGGTTTCATCTGGATAGGATGATGCATCTGGAGAGATAACCAGGTAAGGGCATGGTTAACGGTGGGTACTCAGCTTTATTACTCATCACAAAGGTATCAGATCTTCACACATCCTCACATTATTATGTCAGTGTCTGGTTCGGTCACTGTAAGGCCATAATCCCTCACCAGAGAGATTCAGGGGGAATTGTCTATGAGCTGCCGGTGGGAATCAAATTCTCCACTATCCAATTTCACCTCGAGCTGTAGTGTAGACTTGAACTTATTGATTTCTCTTGTCAACATCCTTCAGTTTCTTCAGGGCATTTTGGAGATTGTTGACAAGCAAATTAGTACAATATTATTTTAAAATGTACAGATTTTTCTGTATAAGACACTACCTTTTACAGCCAATCCACCACTCACCAAGCATAGCATGTCAGCTGTGAACATGTTGAACAACTTGTGAACTTGCTGCATCATCAGTGAAAAAAAAAAAAAAAAAAAAAAAAAAAAAACAGGACATTTCCCACAATTTAACCATGTTTGTCAAAGACAACCAGGGTTGGGCATCGAGCATCGATTGGAAACGGTTGTTAGTTTTTCCCGGAATCATTCAAAGTTTTTTTTGTATTTCGATTCTAGTTTAGATTCCTAGAATGCCGACCGGAAGAGTAATCCGTGGCAGATCTCCGTGAAAATATATGTGATAAGCAAATTGTGATCAACGCTTTTTAGAGCTGATCACACCAGCTGTCTGTGTGCAGCACCGAGTCCCCCCTCCCCCCACCCGGCGTGCAGCGGCCAAATATAAACAAATGGATTTGGGCCCCTAGATTTGACATAAGTTTTCCCTACCATTTGGCACCCATGTCTGTTACAGTAACAATCTCAATTTAGTATACATTAAATTACACAGTGTGAACATATAGCACCTTTAAAAGTTGAATGTGGAACACACACTCTGGTGACATCTAGTGATTAAAGGTGGTAGCTGCAACAACTGAAAACATTTTCCAGCTGTCAGGGTGTTGGTCCTCTGCTGACACAGTAAGTGACCGGCCAGCACCATATCCAGTGACAAATTGTACAGGGAATTAGCTCCTCAGCCTTCATCCGTTTGTGCAAATTGGGGAAATCCTTGGGGAAATGCGCAAGTGCAGACTGATTGCTACGTCACAGGCTTTTCACCTGAAGAGACGCGCTACCTCTGGAAGTTGTTATATTACTGCTTGTTTTAGGTTTACATGACAGTTAGCTTGTAAATGGCTTGAAGAATATCGCTATTGTACTGTAAACAAGAAATTTCTCCCAATGTTTACAGTCATTCACGGAATTATGAAAAATGGTCTTTTTGATAAATAAATCACGATAAACACTATTTATACTACAGTTCTGTATTTGAGAAATATCACCTATTTAAAATTAACCGTGCTTTAAAAGCGTGTTACTAGACTATAAACAAGAGCGAATCTGTCGTAACACGCTGCAGTAGGATGTCGACGAGGAAGCACAGATAGTCAGAACACCGGTTCCAACCGAGCTACTGCCAGCCACGGGCCGATTCACAGAAAGAAAACCAACATAGACTGACGAAAAGTCAGTGTTAATCAACATTACCTTTAGCCAAGACTCGAACTTCTCAGCATCCATCTGACCAAGCCCAAATCAAATCGCTGAGCAAAAGATATATTCCATTGTAACTGTCCTTGAGTCAGCTCACTCGCGCTCTGATCAGCACAAACCAATCAGGTAGCAGTATTCCGAAAATCATGTATAGCAGATATGCTACGTTTACAATGCTCGTTGTAAGCTAACCGGCTTGTTCTATTACTTTGAAATCAGGTAAACGTCCGGTCCAGCGGATTATTTTTATTATTCATTACAGTTTCTAGTGTAGGGTCTCAGGAATGGTGCTTGTTAGGAGGATTAAAAGTCCACCACAATATTTCACAGAGTAGTTAAACTGAGCCCTCGGCTCCTCGACCCCCTCAAATATTTTCTCATCAGATCTACATGAATCACGTAAGTGACCTATTTTGGACTCAAAATGGCGAATTTCGCCGAAAGGTGAGGGATTTTCATGTCTGCATTTAAGTTTCACTTCCTGTTCTGACTGAATGCTGCTGCAGCACGGAAGTGTAGTTCTCAGTCATCCTGGACATGATCATCCTGAGAGTTTTAGCTGAAAACAGCTGCACGTTTCTGGATATGTTGGAGACATTTAGCCTCTCATCCCAGAGGCTTCTTCCAGACTTTGGTTGTGGTCAGAAACAAACACACTGGTTGTGCTGCAAGTCTTTCTTTTTTTTCTCCAAAACATGTTTGTGTCTAAATGAAGGTGATGTTATCGTTCATAGAGTTAAATTTCATGTTGAAGTTGAGATTATTTCATCGAGTAGGACCTGTGGTTAGCTGGCTCATGTAAAACATGTCATGTCTTCAGAGAATCGGGAATCGATAGGAATCGGAATCCAAACGAGGAATCTGAATCATTCAAAATCAAACAATGCCCAACCCTAAAGACAACTCAGAGGAGTTTAAATAGATGCAGCAACAGACCATCTACAATGCAACAGGAAGATTTTAAATCTAGTCACGAGATACATGCTGTACTTCAAAGGTGGTTTTGTTTTCACTGAGCTTTAGATGGAAGTGAACAGATGGCCAGCTCGGTATGGGGACGAGCTGGCATCAATGACCAAGTGAGAGGCACAAGAAGAGAGATAGAAAAAGTGAAAGAAGCCTCTACACCACTTCCACACAAACCACAGTTACCTGCATAAATGCCAGGAACAGCGGGATCCAGGATTGGGATTTCAGAGCTGAGCTGCTTCTTATTTGAAATGTCTGCCTGATTGATGGTCTTCCAGAGAAGGGAGCTAGGACTGTATACTCAGCCAGCTTAACTCATCCATCAAGACGGTTCAATATGTACCTATAACCCCTTTGACAGTAGCTCCTGTTACAACAGACTGGGCTACAGTACTAATTGACAGCTGAAGTTGTTTGGTATGGATTTAATTGATTGGAAAGAGCAATTTAGGACGATTCACAGGCATGACAGATTTGTAGAGCTTTAACAAGCCAGTGCACTTATTCCAGCTGAGCAGACTTCAATCTCACAAGAATCAGGGATGAGACCACACTCAAGACTGAACAGTCATCCTCTTCCTTTCAGAATGAAAACTGCACACGTGCATTAGAGTTCTGCATGTGAAAAATATGAATAGACACGGTCAATACTCTGGTATGTTAACTCATTCACTGCCAATGACGACTTAAGACGTCATTTGCATTTTTCTTTTTACTGTTTGGGCATCGGAACGAGCCCCCGTGCTGAGAGAACAAACAGCCGGTCTTCATCCGCATATGTGACACGTCACATGATCAGGAAGCAGAACATCCATGTGTTAGATCGTTTTGGGCTGTTCCTGTAAAAAAAAAAAGTGAGGCGCGAACCGGAAAAGCGTCTGACAATCACAATTCGACAACGGATTATGAAAGAACGGATAACGCTCGAAACACGCAGATTCTTCCTGATGTAAGAGGCGAGTCTCCTCTTTGTTTTGGCTGTTTTGGTGTCGACATCATCCTAGCGCGCAACGTTCTGTGACGCAAAAAAAACTGTAAAAATGGTGAGAAACGCTGGCAGCGAAGGCCTTTCGCAATCAGGAAACTGTTGGCAGTGAATGACTTAAGATACGTAAAAATTAAAAGTAAATAAATAAAAGAAAGGAAAAAAAAAGTGACATGACAGGACCAGATACACTGCTCAGCCCACAATCCAATGTGATTCAATAAATTGCAACATAACATGAGCAAGTAAAGGAAATTACCCTATTCAAATGATCAGGACTAATCAAACTGTCCAGTAAATTTGGTCTTTATAACATTTGTTCAACGTTCATTAGAAAAAAAAAAAAAAAGACGATTGAAATATTTGTGCAGGAGAGGTTTAGACGATCCACGGGCCTAACACACACTGGTGGAGCGCTTCACAAATTACAATTGTTCTTACTCAGTTTGCAGAAGCAAGCCATGACAGTTCTGCATGAGACTTTCCCCCCAAAATCTCAATGGCTATGTGATGTGTTGGTCAACTACAGACGGCACTGCAGTTGGTTCATGCTACACAAGTGATACTTCTGACCCGTCAATGTCTGATGATTTTGCCCCAGCAGATGAGGGGGTGGCTAGCAGATGAGGGGGTGGGGAAAGCCATCACCTATTGGTTTAAGAAAAGTTTGAAGCCAACATTTGGATGCCAACAGGGATTTTGAGAAAAGCATGGAAGGAATATTTAGAATGTTTTCAGCTGTAATTTATGTTGGATTGTGAAGGAAAAACTTAGTAGTAGTTTGACAAGTGTTTACAGTGTCTCCAGTTAGGGTTGAATATTTACCATATAACATTGGAATCACAAGAACCCTAGCTATAAAATGATGTGTAATATGTACATTGAACAAGTATAGCAAAATAGATGCTGACCAGCAAAAGGCTTAGCCAATCGCAGATGGTCAAATAATTTGTCTAATCGCCAAACCTTATTGGCCAGTATACTTTCATACATGGTGGTTACCAACATAGCTTAAATACACACGTTCTCACACCGCAACAATGCCGCCTAAGACATAGTTATTAACATTCACATATATACATATAAAGCACATTTATTCTTCCTTGTACGACTGACACGCTAGCGAACCAACGCCGACCGGTCATGAGGGAAGGTACATGAACAGCGTTCTCATAACAGGAAATACTTAACCCGGTGAACGATAATTAACCCAAAGGTAACGACACTTACTGTTCATCCTAGCACACACTTAGCCACATCCAGGTGCTGCTCCCCAGGCAGCAACATGCTGCAGATAGGAACCCAGAACATAAACCTAAAGCTACATGAGCCTCAAGAGATATGAACCTAAAGTCATTCATCTCTAGGCATACTTCCAGAGCGAACTTTCAGTCACTTCCTGGTAACTTCAAAATAAAGTAACAAAGGAAGATTGCTCACAAAACTCTGAGGGCTTTCCTACAATCCCGATGCAGCCTTCACTATTGACAGATACGGATATCAATTTGATATGATATCAGAACAAATCATAAATACTTTTACCTATTTCGTTGTGGTGAATGTATGACAGGCTTGATGAAGAGATATTACTCAATTGGAGAACAAGAGCCAACAACATTAATAAAAAAAAATAATGGACTGCTTATATCGGAGATTTTTGATGCAGTCTGATATAATCAGATAGTGTTTTTGGGCTGATTTGTCAAATTACTTTCGATATAGAAATAGGACATCCCTAGTTACCAAACAATGAGGCTCAAAGTCAGTGGCAGCTCGTACATGTGGGGCGCTAGGGCGCCGCCCCACCAGTCTCACAGGAAGAAGAATATGATCTGCATCACTAAATATAAAAATACATTAACATGAAAATTAAACTAAATGTATGCATCATACAGACTAAGTGTTGGGTATAATCAGCATTTAAGTGTAGTTTAAAAATGTTTTCTCACACTTAACACAACTGAATCGTCTTGGGACGCATTTCCTGTTCCTTTTGACAGACCTACACAGCAACTGGCGCATGCATGCTGGATACCCCTCCAATACAAAAAACAGGAGAGCCCTTGGTCGCAGAGATTTGCGAACGAAACCGGGAAGACTCAGCTCAGGATTTTCACCTGGAACCAGAAGCTTCTCACAGTACAATGTTTGTTTTTTAAGCTTGCTGTTCTTTGTTTTAGAGAACCAGAAAGTTATGGGATGTGGTGGCGTATGAGACTTGTTAACACTCTGCTGTTGGTAGAAACAACCCAAAACAGTCAGGCGACTTTCGAACATGAACAGAGTGCTTTATTTTTTTTATACTATTACACGAATTATGACCATAAACCAGCGAACGCAAGACTGAATTTACGGCTTTGACTTCAAGAAATTAGCTTTGTTTTGCTGCCTGGACCTCATTTCTACTATGCAATATGTTCATTTACTCACCCAGTAAACTTTGATGATTGTTGGAGTCAGAGAAATATCCACCTATGATCAACATACATTGGAGTTGTTGTAGCAGTGCAGCCTCTAAATAAGGTATTATTTCCCACTAAAGTCCTTGATGTCGCCAGTGATTTGGTATGATTCACTAGCACTGTTCCCGTTAGTTTGAAACGTCTCAGATGTGCTTTGTTGTCATCATCCCGGGTCCTGTACTGACGTTTAAATAAACTAGCTGGCAGCGATTTCAGTGACGTCACGGACATTGTTACCCCAAAAACTCCAGTTATATGAATATATGTGAATATTTGAGTAGAAACACAAAATAAGATGTGCCGCTATTCGCCAGTTTTCTAGCAGCTATATCGCTTAATCATCCATTTCAATCAAGGGGGTGGGGAGTAGGTTGAAACATACATACCAACACAGACATGCCAATCAAAGCAAAAATGTACAGTTTCTTAATTTATCCTCTCATTCACCATGTACTTACATTAGCATAATACTAGCTGGAAATAACTAACTGATACTTCTAGTCGGAACCTGGAAATTAGCATTTTTTCGTGCACAGGGTCGATTTAAACGGCTGTTGTGGATAGGATCATATTTCGTTGGCGCTACAGTGTTTCTTGATATGCGTGTTATGCTTATTTTTTTACCTTTTCATTTGGTGACTTATTGTCATTGGGAGACCCCTCCCATTAAGTACGTGTGAAGTTTGCATATATTGGTGAATATTAAGCATGTTTTAGGAACAACTTTGTTGCTAGAAGTGCTCGTGGACCTGGTACCGGGTTCATTGGGTTGTGTGATGCATAAGAATGGTAAGTGATCGTTCTCTAGTTGTGATATGTGGTTGGCGTATCTGAAAACAGACTGCATAAATGCGCCCCACCTAAAAAATAAATAAATGAAATTTACCATCCATCACTGCTCAATGTGGAGTAAAGAAAACTAAACTGTTCCACTTTGTTTCAGTAATTCAGAAGTATTAAAGATAAAATAACTAAACTTAAAGTTAGCCTATACATGAAACAAAATGTAAATCATGTCCTAAACTGACACCAGTAAAATAAATCAACTACAGTGAGAATCTGAAAAAATAAAATGAAAGAAAAATGTCATATTACCATGTGGCAGACAGAAATCCACTATGTATTCAGGAAGGATCTACTTCAAGGGTTCCATTTTGGATAGTTTTCGGTTTTTCTAACCAGTAGGTGAGAAGAACTACTAACTTTTAGGTAGATTATAGTAGAAATGACCTTGCAGACGTTGAAGACGATTCACTAATGTGAATCAATGGTTCGTAGAGACGAGCTTAAATAATTTGTGTCACTTTGGGCCTTCAGGAATGATCCACTTCATGGCCAGGCACACGCTTGTGTGTTTGTCTGAGATTATCTTATCTATACAGTGTTTTAAAGGTCAAGGCAGGCCTCAGGCCTAGTCCACACGTAGCCAGGTTTTTTTTTTAAACGAATATCCGCCCCTCCAAAAACTTGCATCCACACCACCTCGTTTTAAAAAAAACTGTCCACACGTACCCGGATAAATACGTTGTTAAGGACATGCCAGACCTGTAGGCGGCAGTACTTCCCCCGTTCTTAACCTCGTCCTTCATCTGTGGTCTTCCGCAAGGAGCAGCAATTCCGCTTGGAAAAACAAGCAAAAAGCGCTTGGACAATTAAAGCGAGCGCAGCTCTGAGGGCATCCATGCTGTCGGCTAGTGTAAACACAGGTCGCACACGTGATGTCAGCATTTTTTTGTCGCGGTAAGTGACGTTGCGGACCTTAAAACTCCGGTTTTGTCTGTCCTCACGCAGACACCCAAAACGGAGAAAACGCAGATCTTCACTTTGACCGGAGTTTTTAAAAAGATCCGTTTTCGTGTGGATGACAGGCCAAAACTTAGAAAAATATCTACGTTTTGGCAGATCCCCGGCTACGTGTGGACAGGGCGTCAGTTTGGTGTTGGCGATTCTTGGTGTTGAAATGGTTTTTGGGCCAGACTGGCATTCACTGAACCAAGCTCATTACTGGCTAGCACACAGCTAACAGCCAGCACCGGGGATGTAGGGGGGCTCGAGCAGCTAAGAGCAGCCCATGCTGTGCTTACTCACCCCACTTAAGGTCTTTATGTTGTGCAGTGCATTCTGGGCCTCCAGTGCAGCTTTTCTTGTATAAAAAGTTACAAAACAGCATCCTGCAGAGTAAAAACAGGACAATGGGAGGGGAAAAGGAGACAAAAAACAACATTAAAAACACAGCACATAGACAGTAACACCCTGACTGCTACACAACATAAGTGTAATGAGTGTTGTCATGTTTGGAACGTGACAGGAGAGGGCAGGCACCAACAGTGAGACAGTGCACACCAGCCATGTGAGAGGTTGCATCAAGGACTTGGTGAGGAGTTCGATAAGGCTATGACATGGCCACAAAGCACACCACAGGGTTAGGAAATGGTCAGAAGACACTGATGCACAGTTGGCAGGTCAACACAGCCCAGACAATTCAGGGCAGAAAACCAACAACATTCTGTATTACATAAGGGTCTAACACACTGTAGTCATAAAAACAGAACAGAGACAAAAACGGGAAGGAGCAAAAGCAAAAAGAAAGATAGTGGGGGATGGGATAAAGAAATGAAAAGCAGGGTGGAAATAAAAAAAAAGCCTCTCATCCTTCTGTCCCAGCAGACCGCCAGTGGCGTTCCAGCCTGTCAGTTTCACTGGGTAGGGGAAGTGGAGCACTGCAGCGTCTCTGACCTACATAGTGTGCATTATTCTGTTACTGGAGCTCCCAGGCTGTGGGGAGGGCTGTTGAACTCTAATATGCATCGAGCTACACTCTTCGCTTTCACAACCATCGGGGAGCACCCTTTCTCTGCTGCTCGGCCTGGGCTCTGATCCACTAAAGCTAGAGAAACATCCAGAAAGGCGAGGACAGTCAGATGATTTATGACCCGCGATAAATAGGACCTAAAAATATACATCTCCACATACAAAAATAGAAGTGGGATTACATAGGTTTAAAAAATGTAAAACCATATTTGACACAAGTAAACATACGCCAGACAATTATCGGGCCATCTTGTTTTAAGTGAAACCATTTCCTAATGGGAGAATGTGGTAGTGGTGCCGCTAGAGCAAATCCAACTCATAAGCTCTGTGAGGAAGACTGCAGCGATGAGACCAGATTATCTATCAGAATACATTAACATGGCATTAACATGTCAATAGGACATCACAGCTGACACTGTCTAGAAGCGGGGATGGGGCTGTCCTTAAAGAGGCTTTGAACTTCTTAAACAAACTGGTGTGTGTGTGTGTGTGTGTGTGTGTGTGTGTGTGTGTGTGTGTGTGTGTGTGTGTGTGTGTGTGTGTGTGTGTGTGTGTGTGTGTGTGTGTGTGTGTGTGTGAGTGAGTGAGTGAGTGAGTGAGTGAGAGTGGAGAGAGTAAGTGAATAACAAGCTTTGTGGTAGATTCAGGCTCCAATTCCTAACATAGGTGAATCTCAAGTGTGTAAAAATCCTATCTGTTGGTAACGCCAGTTACGAGTCTGCCAAAATAAAAAGCTTGGTACACTTACAAAAGAGAGCACAACACTCTTCTACATGAAACCTAAATGGTTCTTACCAATGCAGGGGGAAAGGGAGGCCACATATTTGTAGATTACACAACCGTTTTTCTTTGTAGTGATTATCTTGGGTACTGATGGGACTACTAGGGTGTATATTTAGATAAGAAATGCAACAGCGGTTCATTTTCATGAGTATGAGCACTTTCAGTTGGTGTTTAAATTATCTGGTATCCACCTAGGGACGGGCAGTTAAACCAACAACTATGCACATTTGAGGATAATCGGATTAGTGTTGGGGTTGTTGGGGGACAAAACCAATGCTTAATATTTAATTTAGTATATTCTAATGATTGAGCTGATAACAAAAACGAGAGATGAGTTCTGAAGATCAAACACTGTTTCTCTGCTCAACTGGACCAGCAGCCAATCACAGCTGAATGTTGCAGACTCCAAGCTAGAAGCAAAACTCGACCAGCGGCGCTGAATGAGCTTCATCAGGTGTTGTAGGAAACGTCAGACTAACAGCAGTACAAAACCTGACTTCCAAAATTAAACCTGTCCCACCACATTAAAACTATATCATGGATTATTCTCAGCCATGGTTGGGGATTCACCCAACTAGTGTTGTCAAAAAAAATCGATACCCAGATATAAATCGATACTAAAAGTGGTATCTAAATGAGATATTCCATCACTTTGGTATCGATATTATGGACTATTATACACAGCCTTCTTCAAGTACACCGACACGCACGACAGCCAGATGCCGTAAAGCAGCCTCCGCCTCCCAGACAAACAGAAGAAGATGCCGCATGGCTACGTTGCAATTTCCCACGCGAGTTGTCTCCGATCCAAGTTTTGTCTGCCAAATAAATAAACAAAAACATAAACAGCGAATTTGGGAGGCGCTTCACAGCCCAACTTAATTAGCATACCAAGTCCGACACGTAGTTGTATATTCACGCTTATGTGCTTAAAGGAAACTCCCGTTTATTGCAACCCGGACTTAATTTCTAGCATGCAGTACGTTTGTTTACTCACACTGACAACTTTGGTGCTACTTGGATTCCCCGGGGTATTTACCGTAGGTCCATCGCCGAATCGCCGTCAGCGTATATCCATACAACGGGTGCGGACGGGCACCCATGGTGCAGCCTCGAAATAAGACATTATCTGCACCAAAACATCTTCATGTCGAAAGGTTTTGTTAGGAATCATTAACGTGATTCCCCTGTTCGTTTGGAGCGGGTCTGGTCTGGGATTTCTAGGCGTAAACAGACTAGCTGCAGCTAATCTAACCGGCGCTTTTAATGACGTCACTGCCGTGCGCCAGTCTGTTTTTATTAAGATTACCGGTAGATGTACCTTTGTCCTACTGTGGAGAAATTCGTTTTCTCCCTTTATTGACCAACAGAGTTGTTCAAAAGTACGGAACAAAACATATGGCATTACATCTTATGACAAAAATGCACCTTAAACAGAGTTTAAGCAGCAAAATATCACTCTGCAAATAGTGTATATATAGTGAGACAATTCATGATTTAAAGTGTTAACTTTCACCAGTTTTTGTATGCACGTTTTAAAAAATGCTGATACTTGAAAGGTTTAAGCACTTAATACACTTAATTCTTAACATTTAATTTTTGTAATATAAATTGAGGAATGTTATTTTTTGAATAAACTTGTTCGATAAATGGGTGTTTTTAAATAGTATCGAAATCGAGTATGTTTTCAAGTATCGAATCGAGTTTGAAATTTTAGTATCGTGACAACCCTACACCCAACACAATAAACTGTTAACTGTTATTTTACTTACCCGCAGTTAGTTACAGGAGAACGAGCATTCTGCAGCGCTCTGCCGTGCAGACAGGTTTTTACTTCACCATCTCCTCTAATTGCAGCCTAAACTGAATCATTTAACTTGAGCGCCATCACTAAGGTGAGTGCATCAACTGATGTCTTAATGGAATATTAATGTTTCATTCAACACTGCATTTAAACAGCATTGAAAGAACGGGGCTATAAAAAAGTGCAATACTTTGAAACAAAAATCAGATGAATCACCGTCTTGAAACAGGAGCACAGTTGGACTGCATGTAGAGACATGATATACTGCACACTGCTGCAGGGAAGAGCGCAAAAGTGCTCTGTGGCTCTTTGTATTCTTTCAACATTTCACATTACTCACATTACAACTACTGACCATTTTGCCTGTTATATTGTACCATCTTCTAACATTTTAAAGAGGAGTTGAATTTTCAACAGTGTGATTACTTTCTGCTGTGACACACAAAAACTAAGAATCACTCATTTTAAAGTATACAGAGTTAAAGTCGCAATAGTCGTCATTAGGGTTGCAGCAATTATACATTTTGGCAGTAAGGTTATAATCTGAGAAATAACCATGATTTCATGATTACCACGATTGTTTTACATTTGTATTACATATATAAATCAAACACATACCCAAACCCCCAAAGAGCTATTGATCCTTTTCAGAAATTTTGCTTAGAAAACTTAATTTGTAAAATCAAAGTAATGCCTATAATTTTTAAATTACAGTTACAACTTTTAAAATACCTTAAAAATGGTGAACACTCGTTTAATCAATACATCTGCAGTGGTCTTTAGTAGGAATGAATACCTTGTAAATCGCACTTTAGGGAGAAAATAAACACCTGTGCACCTTTTTCAGGACTTAGAAGTGAGCTACATCCCTGCTGAGCTTCAGACAGCAGGTTTATGAGTCTTATTTCCTCATATTTGGACATCTCAACTTGAACTGGATAACAGCAACACAACTCTACCACTGACTTGCATTGTTGATGTATCTCCACAAATAACACAAGCCTGGAGTTCTGCTGTGTGGTGAAGTAGCTAATATTAACGATTAACTTCTACTAGCAGAGATGTTCTCCGCTGCTACCTGGGTGCTAAACCAACAACAGCCTTCCCTGTGAGTCAAAATGGTTGAGTCCATGAACGTTAAGTGACAGTGTGATGTAGATCTGTCAGGATTTTCTAATCCTAGAGTTTCACCGCCTTTTTTCCATCAGAAGCTAATGTGGGAGAAAGGTGTAGGAGACTATTTCTATAATCAGCTGCATGAAAAACTCAAAGAGTGACCTGATAGTAGTCAGAAACAAGATTTACTGGGTTTTTTCCATTCACCATTATTTAACCCTTAAATATTTCCCAATATTTATTTTGAAGGATTCTTAATATAGAACATGTATTTATGTGTTAACTTGACATATTTCCCTCAAGGTAATAATATCTTGATTGTAGTCGTAATGAAAGAAGATAGATTTATCTTATGTTGTGATGAAGCTTCATTGCTTTCTTTAAATGTTTGATTGCGACACCTTCACTTCCACTTATAAGTGTCTAGGTGAAAAAAACCAGCATTGTTTAGTGGGGGTGTAACGGTTCACGGAGGATGTTGAACCAACCCGGTTCGGCCTGTTCGGTTCACCTACGTACCGTTTCGGTTAATTTTTTTCCATTAAATAATTAATTTTTATTTGCGTGATTTAAGTGCAGCATATGAAAGTTCCTAGGCAAGTTTCCGCACGGACGCTGTATTGACTGACGCATGATGGCTGACGTGCCCAATCTCTGTTTAAAAAACGTGATCTGCAAATTCTGATCAACGCCTTTCAGAGCGGATCAAACCAGCTAGCTGTTGCTGCTACTGTGGAGCCGGTAGAGACGTTGAACGGAGCGTTGCATCGCCCCTCCCTCCCTTCTCTCATACTGTGCAGGCACGCAGCAGCAAAAATGTAAAACACGTCTGCTGAACGTTAAAAAAATGAGTTTTACAGAAGAAACTCTGGGCAGTGTTAGAGTTTTTAAGGCTCGCTGCAGAAATAAAGACACAGATCATCAACAGTCAAACAACACTTGTCTGTATGAGCGTGACACTTATAGCTAGGGATGCACAGATACCGATCCTGGCATCGGTATCGGTGCAGATACAGATACGATACTGGTATCGATAAAAGTTAACCGATACCAGGAACCGATACCAATGCAGTTGCTTGAAAATGGCTTCACTGTAACTTGTCATTTTTGTTCACCTAATATTTTAGTTATGTGATGATTTCTATTCATATATTTTACTTTTTATCCACCTCAGTCTTTTCCTGTTGAAAGCAGAGAAGAAAATAAAATCTGTATTCCAAATCATTGCATTTTTTTGTGTGGTAGAAGTATAGGTATCGTAAGCGGTATCGGCGAGTATTCAGATCCAAATATCGGTATCGTATCGGTTTGGAAAAAGTGGTATCGTTGCATCCCTACTTATAGCTGCACAAATAACCTGTGAAATAACTAAAGACATCATGCTAGATCAGCAGCCTGTGACGACACCTGGTTCTGCTCACTATAGGAGCCGCTTCAGATTAAAAAAATAATAATATACCGAAAATTAATCGATCGGACCTCTTCAAAACACTGAACCGAACACGATTTTAGCGTACAGTTACACCCTTTTTGTTCAGTACACATAGATGTTGAACCAAATGGCCTATTTAGAAAATATACACAGCCTTCCTCAAGGATATGAAGCAATATGTGACGAGAAAAGGTATCGATAATAGAATAAATACGTTAATGGAACAAGTATGTCAGCTCTCAACATTTTGTTTATAAAACTTGAGAAAACTGGCTTTCTCTAGCTTAACTTATCTAGGCAGAAATAACAGTTTAAGTATGTAGGACTAATCCACTTATTAAGGTCATTGCGGTAACAAATATGTGAGAAATGTTGCATTATCAAAGGACTTTTAACTTTTTCTCCACTTAGAAACATTACCTTCATACTTGGGGGCGGAATATACTTGCTTTTTTACCGACGCATACAAGTTTAAAATGGCTGCCTCGCGTAATTTGCATCGATTTGAAGCTTTATTTGTGCGCTTAACCCAAAATTTCTGCTATGTGTACAAACGCTGCAATATACAAGTAACCAGTAAGCAGAGTTGACAAAATGAGAGAAACTGAGACACTGGTTGCAGTCTCTGGTTTACAGATCTTTCCCACAATCCACAATATTGCTGCTGTCTTTTTTTCTGCCGTGATCTAAAAATTAGCCAGTTACTGATCTCTTCTATTGATGCCATGTTTGCTTTGGTTGTACCCTACAAACCCAGCTCTCTGTCCGGTCTGAGTGCTCTTCTGTGCCCCATAGCGGAATCATCCAGTACTGCACTAAGGGCAGAACTGTGCAGCAGCAAGCATGAACAAAGACGCAGCCTGCTCTCTGTGCCAACATGAGGTTAAAAAGCAAGCAGCAATAGCAAATCTGCAAACAAGCTAGCTTTTAAACGCAAGCACGGTCATGGAACTCTCACCACTCCTGTCGGCATTTATCCCTGGGCCACGTATGCCAGAAACAGAAACCCGCCTTGCCAGAGTAAACGAGAGAGCGCTAAACACTGGTCGCCGATTTCTGCGTCCAAACGTCTCTTATGACTTAAAATTGTGTTTTAGTTTGTCCTAAAGTTGAAGTGGTAGCAGCTGGCCATTTTTCCTTCACCGATATTGAGCTAAGAACCTCTCACAACAGTGGCATTCTGTAGCAAAATTCATAAGCACACAATGAGTGGAGGACCCAGGTAAATACAAAGCGCAGTAAAGAAAGTAGATAGTCCAATCGTTGTTTTCTGACAGAGTTATGTTATTGGCATAGGTTTTGCAGATTTGCCATTTTAGCTTTAAGTCTTATTTGTAGTCTGTTTAAATGGTTGCTGATGTAACTAGCAGATGCATGTAGAACACCTGCATAGCAACTTTTACCTTCTTTCACTGTGCCTTGCCAGTGAAATGAAGTTGTTTTCATGAATCTGGCTTTGCGTCTCTTTGGTAATAGTAATTTACACATCAGTCGGATATTCCATGGCACCATGTCACAGTCTGCTTACAAATAAGCCCTCAACACTAACAGTAGCGGTTTTCCCTCAAAAGGACAATTGATTTTTAAGAAAGCAGTAACAAGCTGTTCTAACCTATTGGAGCAACATTAGTCACTATACTCAGTCTACAGATGAGGCCCTGCAGACTGGCAGTGCAGTGAATTAGGAACTCAGATAATCATTTAAATACACTAATGAACAGGTGTGAACAACCTACAAAAGGCAAGAGACACTGCACCAGTCCAACTGCAACAGTTTAAATGAACAACTTTTGAGGAATAAATGGACACCCTGAAGCCAAAAATCAAGTATTTAGTCTGATTAATGATTTATAAATGAGACACTAAGTGTATTCCATGTTAAATAGGTCAACTTATTTATAAATCTAATCAGCTGGTTAAAAGCATACCTTTACTCTGAGGAGGATTCTGGGTGCGATCTCGGAGAATGTTGATCTGGTACACAGGTCCAAAGGGCTCAAAAAGCTCTTTTAGTTCTGTTTCTGTCCAGGAGCGAGGAATCTGTCCCACAAACATCTTGATGGAGTCTGGGTCTGGTTGGTCCATGTGCTCCAGTGACCCATTCATCTTGCTGCTGTTGCTGAGAAAAACAGATTTTGGGGTTTTAGATAAACTTATTAAAAATGACTAAACATTTAACTATACACAGAGCTAATATATTAAAGGCCAAGATAAATTACAAATGACTCAGCAATTTGACACCAAGAACATGCCGATAAGACATGTTTTGCTCTGTGTAAGGCCTCATGTGTTTGCACAACTAAAACCATGAAAGACATCAATTTCCAGGTTTTGAATAACCTCCAACAGGTGAGTTTGACAGCTAAGGAAACAAATAGTTCCTCTCAAAATTACATTTGAGCTTCATTTCCTCCAGGGCAATAACAAAAACATGATGCTAAGATGCACAGGAAGTCGTTCAGAGCAAGGACGTTTTCAAATTGTTATTCCATTTTAGATGATAGTCACTCTGGTGCTGAAAGCTGTTCAGACAGATTCAAGTAATGTAGTTAAAGTGTATATGTGTGTGTGTGTGTGGGGGGGGGGGTGGAGACTGAATATTGTTTGTATTTGTTGTACAGGCTAAAAAGAAGCTATATCTCACTACAGGGACAAAATTCATACTTAAAACTACATTGAGCAACACTTCAGGTGGTCCATACAATAATGGTGGCAGATCGATTAAACCCTGAAGTGTGCAGTTTCCTTTGAGGCAAGCCTTAAGGAAAAAGGATCAATATCCATCAGTGTACACACAACTACAGGAGTTCAGCGTCACAAAAACCAGAACACAAACATTTTCTGCTGAAACACCCAGCATGTTACACATGAAAAAACACTTCCAATACACACTAAAAATACCACACAGGATAAGGAGGGGCAGATATGAACTCAAACAGGGAGGCCATGAAACACAAGGACTGAAAAATATATTTTTTACAACAAAAGTATTTAAACACAGACCTTTGGACACGAGCCATCCATATTTTACAAATTGAGCCCAGCCGTTCCACAGAAACACCAAAATCCCTGAGGGACTTTAGCGACATGCTAACAAGTCACTTCAACTCTTGTTCTGCTGAAGTCCAACTCCCCACCTTGGTATGACCGAATTTCTCTTTTTGTCCCAGAAGCTTTCAAAACATTCAGATCAGAAGAGAAACGCTCAAATACAACAAAATCCACTCGGCTGGAAAAGGGGCGATCGACCCTCTCCCACTGGCTCCTCACCACTACAAGAAAAGTGATGCAGAGCTCAAGACCTGGTTAGCAGGCACAGATTTCACAGTGCATCTTCTCTTCAGGCGCTTTGGCGATGGTACAGAGAGTAACCTACAGCTTCACCACAGCGGGAGAACAATATGTGATTGTTCCCCCCATGCTGGAGAACACTATTCAACATTCCTCTGCAGTACAATGGGCCAAGTCAGAGTGATGCTTCGCAACACATTGAGAGCTTCATCTGCTAAGGCAACAGCTCTGGTGTGTGACACACTATCCATTTTTGCCAGGGGCACTTTTGACACCATTTTGCTGAGGGCCTTCTGATTAAATCATAGCACAGACAGCAAACCTCTCCAGATAAACAGTACTGCCAGGGCATTTAAAAGCCAAACTAACATTTAATTGTTGTTCCAAAACTCCTGTGAAATTATGCCATAAAAAATTCCAGCCAAGTTTGGGAGAAACATCATATATAGAGAAAAATAGAATTTTACAAAAGTATTAACACAAAGAATGTTAGTAGATTTTGTTTAATGTTCTGACATTTTAGTTTGGAGAGAACCCTAAAGCTTTGCTTACACACCAACTTAAGACTTGTGCTGAGCTTTCACTAACAGCCCTGTGATGTGGCAGCTCCACATGCTTTAAGACGCCCTGCAGCAGCTGACAAGTCACTCAAAACCAAAGCCAGGACAGTTGCATGTTTACGGCTGCACCGTCCATAAGAGGGGGATTCATCTGGATCATTTAGGTGTCCTGTTGGTGACACCTGACCGTGCAAGTACGCCAGGAATACCTCTGAGGTGCCTCAAAACACAAAAAGAGACAGCTATGTCAGCTGCCTTTTAATCCTCGGCTTCAGCCATTAACAAAAACACGTCATGTGGTCCTTTTTAAAAGTTGTTGAAATTAAATATCCTTTGCATTAATTTTCAATAGAAATCAACTTCTAAAACTGTTTCTGTTTTACTTGCCAATATTTGCTACGGTGCGTTTATTGTGATAATGTCGACAATTAAAATTGATCTAACTAAAGAGCTGTGTGTATTTAAACATTTGTTTTTAGCTAAATTAAATCTTGACCATTTGCCTGAGGCTGTTGTAGCAATCATGATTTACTAAAAAGAAAAACAAAGTCAAGAGGACTTGTTCCTAAACCCCTACATGCACACATAAGCTGACTAAAGAAAACCAGAAAGACTTTTTTAAGTCCTAATGATGACGTATGGCAGCTGTCTGATGCAAAATACCTCTTCAGCTTTAATTCATTTCTCAACAAAGAAGCAAAATAATGTCCAACAAGTTAAATGGCTTACTAGTTGGAATATAAACATTTAACTGACAGCTCTGAAGGCATAAACAAATCACAGAAAACAGTAAAAGAAATTACATTACAGCTGAAAGACTGCCCTTGCTCATATTTTTTTACAAACCAACTGTAGCAGTGTAGCTCTGTAAAAAATAAAAAAATAAAAACTTTATTCTGGTACAGAGGCTTAAAGATAATAACTTGGTTCATAATGTTTAATGTAAAAAAAAAAAAAAAAAAAAAAAAAAAGGAGAAAAAAAAGAGCTGTTGTGTGTAACCTGACTTGTTTACGGTCATTTGTCAATCACTCAATCTCTGTATTTCCAGTGGTTGTATTAGTACTCACGAGCCAATCAGAGCCCTGTTCCTTTGGTAAGGGGCGGGACTAAGAACGGCAGTTAGTGTGGGAGTAGCGAGCCAGACTTGAAGAGTAAGACGGACGTTATCGAGAGCTGACGGAGGAGGCGTTGAGTGTGGGAAACGTTGAGGTTTGCTCAAGAAGGTCGACTAATCGTGGTCCTGATATAAGCTTCAATTGTGACCTGCAAGAGGTGAATATGATTGTAAATGCCTGAAATATGCTATGACTAACTGTTGTAGTTAAAAGACGGGATGTGCTATGTGGTTAGCGACCTGCTAATTAGTGGTAACATTCAGAGTAAACGTGCCTGCATATTGTAGCCTTTGCATAGTGTAATTTCTACATTTACGGCAAAGCTAATGCTAATTCATCAAGAGATAGTGTTTGATAAGCTGGCAAAATTTGAATAATATGCTCTACGAGGAGACCGAGGTTGGAGAAGAGAGAGAGAGACGGTTTACCATCCAACGGCCCTGCTGCGCATGCCATGCCTGTTCTCTGCTGTGGAGGTCCTGCGGTTGACATTCCATCTGTGATCACCGGTTGTCTTTACCTTAAGTGGAACAGCCCATCCAAAATTCCCTTACCCCATGCTGCCATAACCCTGGACTTTGTGAGTACAGTCACCTTTAATGCACGTGCTTTTGTTTTTATGCCCAGTTCCTGAGTGAAGCGGCCATTACAGTTTTTAGGCCCCACCGCACTCAATTTCCAACAAACAGGCCTGCAATGGAGGGAGGTTTAGGTTAGGAGGTGTTGTGTGTGTGTGTGTGTGTGTGTGTGGGGGGGGGGGGGGGGGGCACGAGGATAGTGTGAGTTCAAAATTTATTTAAATAGAAATAGTTGGTATGGAAATGAAACGACAAGTTTTCGGTGTAAAACCTCATGAAAGTGTTTAATTTTGGAAAATTCTCTATTCACACAAAAGTACTGAACTGGATGTCATTTGGTGTAATTTTGTTTTGAGATCCCCCTTAAATTTTATTTCCTGTTTATAAATAAATATTTGAAAAATTTTTGAATATTCAATACAGTTGTGGTGGTCCTTGTTAAAATAGGTCATATTACGGGGTAAAGAACATTGGTGGCATCAAGTCGGATATAAAGCTGTAACTCCTTATCACGAGCCCAGACCCAGGCCCAGATCATTTGATATCGTTCTCGTATGGTTCATAACCGAAACAAGGGTTACACAACTAAAAATTGATGTCACAGGCAATAAGTAAGAGAAGGACATTGTCATTTGATTTACATAAGAGTATTAAATTAAGACCTTCCCCTGCAAGAACTAACTCCAATTCAGCTCAAAAATGGCCTAATTTCATTGTTGCACGTCCCATGATGAAGACAGACATGTTCAATCAGCCTCTGAACAGGCTGCTTGTAAACAGACGGTCAGCATCTGATGACAAGGCCAGCCCCATTAGCTACATAATCACACCGAGAGTCCCTGGCGGGTATGGATGACGCTGTCAATTTAAAGCCCATCGTGAACTAGCAGTTAAACATTTAGCTAAACGAGGCACTTATTTAAATCTTCAGGTGGAGCTCCACATGAGCAGTGAGTAGGCAAACGGTAGAATAAAAACAGAAACTATGTTTGGCTACTTTGCATACACCAAGATAGTAATCTAAGTTTTAATTGATAGGAAACTTATTCGGTCTTTTCAGTTGCTGCAATCTTTGTTGTCTATCAGTGCGTTTACATGCAGCCAGTAACCCTTTTAAAACCCGAATAGTCACAATAACCCGGTTCCGCACGGCCATGTAAACACCGCCAAAAACCCGGATATGCTCATAACCGGGTTTTTAAAAACCCGGTTACTACACCTGGGGTAACCCTTTTCTAACCCGAATGTTTGGTCGTGTACACGCATATCGGGATATCCCCATCAAAGCGTGTGTTCTGCGCATGCTCTGTTCGCAAGGAATCTTGGTCTTTTGAGTAGCGAGACGTCTTGTATGCGCCAGAACTCCGGAAGTAAACAACAAGTTGGGAGCAACATGGCGAGTCGCGGCAACGCACCACACTTTTGGAGTGACGAGGAAACTAAAGCGCAAACAAACGCGGTCGCTATCTCCTCCGAACTGGGAAACATGTTGTTGTTTTCATGGATACCGGAACAAGAAGAACCGGAAATTACGCATATTGCGTCTGGACGTAGTCCACACGTCCTGACGCTACCCCAACGTCCGCTTTTAAATCGGGTTATGCAAGTTAGGGGTAACTCTATTTATGCTTGTAAACGGGTTATTCTGATCAACTCAGAAACCCGAATACCGACCATAACCCGATCATAACCCGGATATTGGCTGCATGTAAACGTAGTCAATGTTTGACTCTTATTAAATACTGCCCATTATAGACTTGTTTTTACATTCAAATTTGCAGCAAACAGAACATCTCTACAGTGAAACTACAAATGAAGCAATGTTTTCTGCTTTGCAGAAGGAATCCTCCCAAAAAGAAGCTCTGCATGCTCAGTCCAATCAGCTGACTTGTTTACTAAAGACACTTTCTAACAGCTGACCTAATCTAAGCATTTTCTACTCACTAATTGCACAGTAATAACCAAAACATCAGTTTACTGATCGATTAAAAAGAGCTGATAAAAGCTGGTATAACTTGACAGTTTGGTGGTAGTTTCAGTGTTACGCAATTATGTCCTTCAGTTTTTTGCTGCAGGAGTTAGACCTTTGTTCAAACTATCCCACAGGAGATGGACGTGATCGTGAGACTTTTAAAGCAGTGCGAGTGGCTCCAGGGCAGCCAGCCTTGTAATTATAATGGGGAAAGCAATTCAAAAGGAACTGGCAAACCAGGTAAGAAACCAGATCAGAGCCCTCCTTTTCACAGCACTAAACTCGAGCACCCTTACACCAACGAGAGGGACTGCTCGACTAGCCCCTGAACAAAAATCTGAGAGCTCACGGGTACCAAAAAAAGGTGTTACAGCAACATTTAGCTGACTGGCATGAATCTATGGCTGTGGTGGATCCTACATAAGCTCCGATGGATTGATGCCAACGCTTCGTCAAGTCAGATAAATTAGGCCCACTGAACCAAAAGCTTAGTCATTTAGTGTTGAACTATGAGCGGTCTACAACTGTATAAAACTTAGGATCAATGTTGGTGCTTTTGGATTTCCATGTGTATTTGAATTTTAAATAAACCTATTGGAAATCAGGTCTGGTTTCATGTGAACCAGAAAGCACCACTTCAATAGCTCTTCCATGAACCAGATTTGCTAGTTATCGTTTTAAAAATAATCGTTTACCCCCAGCCCTATTACAAGGTAAGCTAAAGTGATTCTAAAACTGTCAACAGAAACAATCTTTTGACCAAAAGGCAACATTTATTTTTGCTTACCTTGTAAAATATAACAAATCTTTAGTTACCTAACAGTAGCTTTGAAAGTAATCCAGTCAAATAATTTTTAAGTATCTGTGGAAACAAGTTTAACATTTGAGTCCTCAACCTGTTTAAAAAAAGTGCCTCAGATTTCTTACAAAGGAAAATGTTTTCTTTCATTTATCAATAACTTCAAATAAACACATGAGTAATCCTGAGTACTCACTTATCAACTTAGAAAATAAATATGAGAAGATCTAAGATTTCTGAGTATGAAAAAAAAATTACATTCCAGTCCCCACTTATCAGCAGATTCAAAAATAAATCATCCCAATTTATGGGACCACAAAAGTAAATGGAGTACTAACTCTCCTAACAAAGGCCAAAAAAACCATACAAATGTGCATCTCAAACCTGTAACATGCCAAACATTTGAGTTCCTGGAATCGATTCTGAATCTTTATAAATAAGAATCCCGATTCAGACTTGAATAGATTTTTTTCAGCACCTCTACTGTTTACCATCAGTGAGCGTGGGGTTGCCATGTCTCCTGCGAGCTAATACTGCAGCGCCGACATTTGTAATTCGACAACGACTGGCAAAAAGCTCTCAAGTTGTTTAAAGTTGTTGCAGTGACTAAACTTTACCACAGGATGTAATTTAATTCATTTCTACATAATGCACCTTTAAAGCTGATTACCTTACCTCAGGAAATCTTTTCTCTAGTAATTCTCAACTCCTGCAACTGCCCATGACAAAACTTTGCTCCATGGGAGACCGCGCCTTTCAAGTTGCAGCCCCACGCCTGTGGAACGCACTACTGGAAACACAGAGCACCTCAGAGTGTTGAGTGTTTCAAAAAAAACACTGAAGACATTTTTATTTACACAGGCTTTTTCACACTGATATTGATGTTTTACCTTGTGTTAACTTACTATTGCATGGTTTTATATATTGTTTATATTGATTGTTCTGATTTTCTGCTGTAGCACTGAGATTTCACTGAAATGTAAAGTGCATTACAAATAAAATCTATTATTTTGCAAGCAATCTCCAAAGGAAAGGGTTTCACAATCTTTATTTTCAATTTAATGCTTAACACGTTGATGCTGGCGATTTATTTATAAATAAGCCAAATGCAATTTTGGCAGAATAGAGATGCAAATAAATTCGTCGGGTCCTCCAAAACAGAACTGGTGCAGTTTTTATTTCCTTTTATAGTTGTATGTTTACTTCCATCCTCTACAGGAAAAAGCCAGTAATATATGCAAGTATTAAACAGTTAAAAACAAGAACACACCTTCAGTAGCTTAAAGGTGACAGGGTGAAAGTCTAATAATAAAA